ATAAATGCACAGTCTTGCGCACATAACCAAGTAGATACTACAAACTTAGTGGTTCTATGTACGAAATAATATATTAAGGATCGGGGCAATTCAAAAAATCTAGTTTTGACTGAAAAAATAAAACATCTATTGTTAATAGTTATAAATAATAAATATATGTTCAACACATCGGATTGTTGTTGCTATATGATAAATACTGTTAACAATATAAGGATATTTTTGTTCATGAATTATATATAATTGGATTGATTGGTTATGAAAACACAGATTAGAATTCTGCCCTAAGTGCTCATGTGGAAATTCCGTCCACAACAGTAGAGATTGAACACACAATTTCAACTCAATCATGTCAATCATGTCAGAGAATCAGAGATTTTTCTTTTCTCTTTTTAACGGCCAGGTGCAACAATAAGACCACCGTGTCGTTAAAGAGATGGTGACTATTGACAAATAAACAACAAAATAAAACACAATCACATAGACAAAAGAAGCATTGTCATTCGTAAACATGTATATTGAATAATTTAAATCCTCTGGTGTGTTGGTATTGACATTCTAATCGAGCCTAGCTCAGTTTTCACACTCACATTGTTCTGTCGATCAGGGTGACCCATGATGTTTGCTATGCCCTGATTTGAATAATGAAGATTTCACCCGCAATGTAAATTTATTTAATTTACGTTATTCACTTTTTATAATTATCATTCATTTATCATAATATTCAGAACTATATATATGTAAAGTAGACATTTCCTGCGGATTTCAAATAAAGAAACATATTGGAATTAATTCTCTGGTTTTATATCAGATTATTTTATTATATACAAGTGCATGATAGAGGGGTAGCAGTTTAGTGAAGAGGGCAAATTTATTTTTCTGTGCTTGATACAGGGGAAATATTTTAGTGTATATAAGCTTGAGACAGGGGTAACAGTTTTTATCTGTATGTATCTCATCAGGGATATTTGCACTTGAGTCAACCCCTCCTAAGCGTCTCTTTCGGGACTTTCGTCATTACTCGGCCCATATGCTGAAGTTTTTACGGGGAGAATTTATTTATTTGGTGCTTGATACAGTGGTTAAAGGTGTAAGAAGACTCAAGAAAAGTGAAATATTGCCAACTTTTCAAGAACATGTCTAACGCTATGGAATAAACAGATCATCCTGTTGTTAGCTCAGGCTATTTGAAACCCTTGGTTGAAACATCCAATCTTTAAACAGACATTTTGTATTCAACCTTAGATAATCCAAATAACCCGAACCTCAAGTTCTATCAATTAATTTCATGATTTAGCCTGTGTCTTTGTAAACCACTTTTGTAAAAGGTTGCCTTTACCAAGTTCAGTCTTGGAGAGAGAAAATTTTGATAGTTGCTTCATAATGGAGGTACATGTATATGCCTAAAGTTTGTCTACTTACTGCCATCAATAATCAATCGCTGTTTTTTTCCAGAAACATTATTTTTATACAAAAAATAACGCCCAATTTTTTCTCGTTACAGGCATATATTGGATCTTAATTAAAGGTATATCAATTAGTGCAGAGGGACCGTCCAACAATATCATGGACCAGTGTCAAAATATATTTAAGTTTGGATACTTCATCAAGACTAACAAATATTTTTATTAAAGAAACGGCCCCTGGATGATCATTAGGGAGTTTAAGATTAGCGTAAATAATCCATTTACCTATACCTATACATAGTTTGTTATTACACTAAGCGGTATTTTACTTAAGTTACGTACAGGGTTTGCGATACGTAATTACCTATAAATGGCGGAAGATAGGTAATGCGAAAACGTATGTTTTTATCCATCAAATTATGTCATGTGTAGATCAAATATCATCCATTAAACTTTAAAATAGTAACAACAAACATTTCTCATTCGATCTGCATAGAAAATAAGTGGTCGAACACATTCATTGATGCGATAAACGATGCCATGTGATGATGCATGAAATTGTTGAATTTACACATTCTTCATCAGTTTGCTTATTGTAAATGTATGAAATCAACCACTTGCTCGTGGTTTTAATTATTTAATTTAACAATTTGGTCACTATCATTTCTGGATCATGCTAGAAATTTAACATTTCGCCTTAGGTCACTGCCCCATTAGCGGGCCCACAAGCAACACCCCCTCTCAACTACAGTAGCTACACCACACTCTCTCTCTCTCTCTCTGAAGTATATAGCAGTTCTCGGGGGTGACTTGTACTGGTATATGCCATATAAGCCATCGCATGGTTTCATTCTATAATCAGGATGTCATGTTTATCATAAATTGTAGCAAACGGTTTCGTAGCCTTTTACATTAATCTTAAACTCATTTTGCAATACGCATTACCTATACGCATCCGTAACAAACATACGGATAGGGATAGGTACACGTATATTTTAACGCTAATCTTAACCTCCCTATTATTTCAGCTGATACTCCTCTTAAAACGTGATTGATCATAAAAATCTTTAAGTGGGACTCCCTTCATTGAAACTTTGAACTGAATGTACACTTCTTAATTGGAATCGATAAATCATGTTTATCTATAAATTTTAAGAGAATATGTATGCTAGAAAAGACGTTTAAAGCCAATTATTATATACCTCATATGTATTCTAGATGCTCATTGGCTTCTTCATGGTCACATGATATAAAATAGATGAACTAATCCCCCGTCCTAAATCGCTGCTAACCCCCCTATCACACCAAACTAGTTCTTACCCGTTCTTGCCAGTCCTACGAAAACGTCGTAAAACGGGCTCAATCTGGCTGTGGTCGGGAAATATGTCTGAAATAATTAGCTTCTTCGTTCTTAAACAGTCTTCAATACGTCTATCTCGTTCGCAGTTCGTTCAGGTCGCACCACGTCGGTGTGCAACGTCGTAGAACGCGTCCCTTAGTCTAGAAGGTCAACATGACCTGATTACAGAACGGTATGGTCGCCATCGAATTTTGAATCGATTCAAAATTCTAAAATCACATTCCCGTCTAAGAACGTTCGTAAAGTTCGTAAATAGACCGTAGAAAGTTGCAGCTACGTTCATTCCGTTCGCACACAGTTTAAAACCAGTTTTGAAGAACGCAGTGGCAACTTGTTTGGTGTGATAGCTATATTTTTGCTAACTCGTTCATAAACAGTGTTAAATACGTTCTTAATCAGTTTAAACCCGTTTGCAATTAGTTCTATCTCGTTCTCAACACGTCCTCAGACAGTTCAACTCGTTGTTAAAACGTCCCTAGTAGGATTGAAGTACGACGGTTCCGTTCGTAGTACGTCCAGCTCGTCGTTAGTACGTTGTCACTCGTTCTAATTGTAGAACGTGACGACCACGAGAACATTTTGAGCATTGTCTAAGTTCTAGAGGACCTACCCGTTCGAGTACGTTCGATGAAGTTTGTAAATAGATCCCAAACGGTTCTTCGTAGGTCCAGTCCGTTCGTGCACAGTTGAAGCCCGTTTTCGAGAACGTAGTGAAAACTAGTTTGGTGTGATAGTAGGGTTACGGGGAAAATGAAATGTACTAATCACCGATTAGGTCATTTGACCAGTCATTAGTGCATTTTATCTTCCCTGCTAGTTGGGATAATATTAATTGAATGGCAAATTGCCTTTTAATGCCAATAAGAACCTGTAAGCATTGTGTTTAAAGTAATAGAACTTTTGAATACGAGCCATTTTCCCGGGAGTTAGAAATTCGGCATGGCATTGGACCACTGTTTGAACATTTGGAATTTCGTTGTGGTCTTATTGTTTGGTATGAGAATATATTGAAATTCGACAGATTGGTATGGGAACATAATGATATCCGAGGCTTCAGCCTAGGACCCCACCCCCGGCCCCCGCCATAGTTTGTATACAGTAACCCCTACCCCAGACGAGAATGGTAAACAGTATGTTACCCGGGAATTTATACTACTAAATTCCTTCGGTGGTGCCAGAAAATAGCACTAAACGAAATGATAGAATAGTATAGTCGGTCACGCTTGTAACCTTGACACGGTTGTTTCAGAATAACTCTTGCAGCAAGACCAGTTCTGTCTCATGCATCTTCCGCGATGCGACGAAGCGCGGTTGATTGCACCTAGAAGTCTTCAACATACTTTTGCAGATTTTTCCGCAGGGACTTCTTACAATATTTCATGATTTTTGACATATTTTAAAAAATAGTGATTGAGCAAAGTATTATAATACATATCCCATTATTAAATCCAACTCTCTAAAAAAGTATGGCCACCTTGTCACTTTTTTAAGAATGTAAGGCTTATTTTCTAAAGAGAGGATCTTGTTTTTCTCAATTTAAATATATCAAAAGTTTCTTCATAATTCTACACTATATTAATAACTTCTGAAAAAGAGATGGCTATTGAAACGTGATAACGTTACAAAACACATTTCCCATGTTATTTTCCCAAAGGGAAAACTCTCTCTGCTGTCCATTGTTTTCAGCATGATTTTGGCCATCGAAAATTGATATCTTCAAAACTAGACCATTCCACTTTTGAAGATGTTTTAGACCCCTTGTGGAATAATCTTTTCATGCAATAAAAATTAAAAAAGAATTCTTTTGAGCAAATAAGTTCAACATTTTTAAAAATTGTTGACGTAGGGTCCCTATTTATAATTTTTCGAATTGTTTCGGAACCACTGTATTGATGCCTAGAAAGTACTCATGGTGAAATATATGACCGTCTAAAATCACTTGCCATACTGCACGTGGACCTTTCTGATAACTACTCCGAGACCTAATAACTAAAACAATCCTTGATACATGAGTTTTGCTAAATCACAAATATTTTCCCATCTTTAAACAATTACGCGTTTTGCCTGTAAAGGGCTGTAAAGCGTGTGGAAGTGGATTGAATTGGTAACTTTTAAATATTAGCTCTCAACTTCAGCAGTGAACTATGTTAAATGAACTGCTCATTATTGAGGCTAAGTGATTAGACTTTGCACTTCCTTGTTCTCAAGTGTAGTTCACATTTTGTGTAATAGTAAAGATGACAGACAAAACGGTTCGTAAGGGTGATGACTATAAAAGAAACTTTGACGTCGATTGGTACTTGAAATGCTGCTTCTCAACACCCTTGGAATGTCCGGAAGAGGGAGATACTTCATACACTTTTTTATTAGACGAACTTCATAAAACGTATAGTTCAGGTACGTATAGTACTAAACAGGATTGAGTTAATCGGAATGATGCAACGATGTGACGTTACTGTACCCAATCGAGCCCAATCGGTAGTACATATAGTACATCATCAGTGGATCGTGACTGGCGTTCTAATGATATTCATTGTCCATTAGCAGGATGACACTAACGAGCGTTAGCCTCATCCAAGATGGTGGACAAAATTTGTTAGATATCGATTTAGCAAAATCTGGATTTCAAGTATTTGATCATGCAAATTAGTCAAGTTGCGATTGTAAACAAATGCAAAAAAATGCTCATCAAACATCTTCGAAATTGGAAAGAATCAAGGAGTTCTGAAGTTCAAATGTAATAGTTGAATGCACAATAACGGAACACAATAATGCAACACATCTCACAGGAAAAATAATATCCCAAATGACCTCATATCAGCGGGCAACATAGAGAAATCTTGGCCGTAACACTAATATCCCATGGCCAAGAACAGGCCTCGTTATGTAGTGAATGGTGAGGATACAAAATAAGTACTCATAGCATCACAATAAAAGGTCATGTTATGTCACGCCACTTTGTTCGAGAACCCTAGCTAGCCGATTGATGCTTTTTATTTGAAAAATTTCTTCCTGCATTAGATAACTTTGAACATGCATGCAATTGAATATAAAAAGATTGGCTTGTGACAAAAGAAACAGAGAGTGATATATTGATCCTTCGCCAGGAAATGGCCACTACAAGACAAATAGCACAGAGTTAAAATCCTCGTATACGTTGTTCCCTCTTAGAAAGAGGAGACGCAAAAGATTTTCCCATAACACAAATACTTCCTTGTTTTCTCCTAACAGTAACATGGGGATTTTCACGCCTATTTTTCAATAGATATATTCGTTCATATTTCCATACTGGAGTACAGCAAAAATATCAATCAGAAACGATTAATCTTTTATCAATCTTAACACAACAGATATTTCCTCATTGTTTTGATCCATAGCGTGGTGAAAATGATGATTGAAAGTGAGAAAATATTCCGGAAGAGAAGGTCACGAGATCAGTTGACTTGTCGCCATAGTGGAAAAAATAATTTCATTCGACTTTCACCACTTTCATTCCAATCTTACCGCACTACAAACTGCAACATCGATGAAACAATAAATAAAGGTACCCATCTTCAAATTGCATTATACTACGTTGAAAACCCACAAACAACTGAGCTATTGACCAAAAAAGACGCGTCGCTATTATCTAGGTCAATCGGTTTAGTGTCCGAAAGCAAATATATAGTACTCGTTTCGGAATTCCGAATTCCGAAGGTTGTCATTGTACAACCTTTTCTTGATAATATATACTCGGTATAGTTACCATTAAAACAATGAAAAAGAACAATACTTCCGATGGTGTCATTTTAGCAAATTGCGTAATTAGTTTGATTTAGAACTGTGGGGTCACGCAAATGGCTACGCGAAATAAGTCGTGGGACAATATTGACCACTCAAATTTTGTCCTTTTTGAGGGTTTTTTAAGTACATATTTTAGCACCTTCTTGATTAAAGAGCAAAAATTGACGACGTCTATATCGGTAGACAAGGAGATGATCACTGGTCCTGCCATATACTAGCCTAACCCGTGTCGGTACGTTATTCACTCCATTGCAATGTAATTTTCTGATTATAGGGAAAGTGAAGGGAAAACGATTTCTCGAGTTTGGAAGTGGTCCTACAGTACATACACTGTTTAGTGCCAGGAATGCTGTCGAAGAAATTACTTGTTGTGAGTTTGCTGAGTGCAATAGAAAACAAATTGAAAAATGGTGGAAAAAAGAGTGTGACGCATTTGATTGGAGTGTTGTACTGAAGCACGTTGCTCAGCTTGAACAACATCGGTGGGTAAAAGTATAGCCTGAGTGAAGCAAAATTTGAATCATCTATCTTATCTTATGTCATCCATTTCAATAAACAGTATGTCCAAAAAGTTCATGCACTACATCTGTTAAATCCTCTTGTTGTGTGCGTTAGAGCAATTCATGTCACTGCATGTATGAGGGGCACATTGGTCATATCTTTTTAACTCAATCGTTTTTAGGATGGCATTATTCTATTCTGAATTTGACACCTGATACAAAATAGAGGCTCTAAGACAACGGTTTGTTGATAGTGATATCAGGCTTCAATTTTTTTTTTTTTTATTTACGTTTCAATGCACTCACTTTTAGTCCAATACAATGGATAACGCAAGGCCAGAAAAAGCCTTTAGTCAGTATATCCAGCTTTTCCGAGTGTATATATATTACGCCTAACCATCGACAACGTACAGTGACAAAATATATAGTAGTACACTTTATATGTACGGTGTCTCTATTAACTGATTTGAAGCAAAAACTATGATGTAGAGGTGATGTAGGTTTTAAAAATCGAACCTTAAGAATACTTGAAAGATTTGATGTTTAATTTCGTGTGTATTCGCTTTGGAAGACTTTTAGCTTTCTGATTACGTTAAAAGATTTTCGAGGAGTGCTCGATTTTTTTCGTAATCAATCTAGCCACAAAAATTGATCGGTTTGAAAATGTTTTTCATATTTCATTTTTTCCCTGCCTAAGAGTGTCGATTATTTTTATGAGAATATGTTTTTCTAAACTATACAATTTAGGATGAGTGAAGGTTTGATAAATATTATGTAGTGTACGTTGTCACCTCAGTACCTTTACTGCACGCTGTCAGAGTAATTGAAATTGCCTATGTGTAATATTAGACAATACAATAATTCTATTTCAAAATCCATTCAGGTTTTTGATGAGCAACAAGTTTTAAATGAATCTGAACCCCTGCCCATTAGTGTTATTAAAAATACGTTGTGTACATTAGGGTTAACTGTGAATTCAGATATGTTAGTTCAATGGGACAACGTACATCGAGATAACATACACTTATGATTTTTTGATTTTTATTATTTTCGCCAAAACGTGAATACTTATTTAATCTTCAACCGACCTTAATTGTGTAACTTAGGGAAACATATTCTCATGAAAATAATCGACACTCTTAGGCGAGAGGGGAAAAAATGATCAAAGGAAATGTGAAAAAACAACATTTTCCAACCGATCATTGTTAGTGGGTAGATTTACTACGCTAAGTTCACACCAACAGCGCTTTGATAGCGCCATCAAGCCGCCGTCGATGTGAACTTTACTTTAACGTAATCAGAAAGCTTACAGTCTTCCAAAGCGAATACACACGAAATTAAACATAAAATCCTTTAAGCTAAGTTCACACCAACGAGTGTCGATTATTTTTATGATTATTTTTATGCGGCTTTACACACCGCATTAAAGCGCCATCAAAGCGCCGTTGATGTGAACCTACTGTAGCTTAATGTATTCCTCAGAATAGTGACACTGTACATCTAAAGTGTACTACGGTATATTTTGTCACTGTACGGTGTCGATGGTTAGGCATGTATACTGGAGCTTAATAACCCTGCACGCAGAGTCTAGTTCTAAACTATCCTCTGCCTAGTATATAAACTATATTTAGGTCTAAAGCCTCTAGCTAGTCAGTATATCCAGCTTTTCTGAGTGCAAAAAGCCGCTTTGCACGCCGCATTAAAGCGCCATCAAAGCGCCGTTGGTGTAAACGTAGCTTTAATTGCCCGGAGGACTGAAACACTTATTCTAGCAGTTGTATATGTACATTTAACCATGGACTTTAAATAGAATTCCCATGATGTAACCCTGTATCTTGTAACTTTGTATCAATTAAGATCTTTATTCTGGCAATAATATTATATACAGATCAGGTTTATTTAAGCTAAGTTCACACCAACGGCACTTTGATGGAGCTTTAAAGCGCCATCAAAGCGCCGTTGGTGTGAACTTAATTAGCTTTAACAATAAAATCGACATCTGGCCGATGAAGTGCATGAACTTTTTGTACACTCTGTGAACATCTTTACAGATTTTTTATAAAAAATACGATACGGGGTGTATATATTATTTGAAAAATGTCGTTTCAGTGACCATGAGCGCATTGCTGCCGAAGTTCGTGAAAAGCTTCAAGAAGTTTTACCATGTGATGTTCGTCTGCAAAATCCATTGAGCCCCAACATCCGGGAGCCATATGACGTCATCACGACCAGCTTTACCTTGGAGGCAGCTTGTGAGTCAATTGACCAGTACAACGAGGCAGTTGCCAATGTGTCATCTTTGATTCGACAAGGTGGTCATTTGATTATGTTTGGCGCACTGAGTCAATCGTTTTATGTTGTCAACAAAGAACGTTTCTTTTCTCTTCGACTAGAAACTGGAGATATCGAGAATGCTTTAAAACTAGCAGGGTTTGAAAATATAGAAACAAAAGTATGTCCACTTGAATATCAGTTGGATATGTGCGACCTTAAGGGAATATTTTACACAACATGTATGAAACGATAACAGCTTACATATGATTCTAGTTTTGATATTAGTAGAAATTCAGAAATCACCTAGATTTGATGTTATATTGCAATGACACAATCCCTATAAATGTACAGTCACGTCAATTTATGGTACATGACATGCACATGGCTGAATCCATGGATTTCGAATTGCCACAGTGTTACCACGGTGTTATAGCATGACGGTTACGACACCTCTGAAACGAGATTAGACGACTACGATCACTGATTTATCCAATAAAATGGCCGCGATGGAACAGAAAACTAAGGTTGGTGCATTATTTTCTTCTACTGTGTATCAATGAAAGGATGAACGATTTTTGTAGGCATCGCATTCGGTGATGCATTTAGTAATGTATATTTTGAACGTATTCTTTGCAAATTGATGCCCGGGGATACCATGAAATAAGCGAAAAACTGTTGAGCTTGAAATTCAAAACAACACAAAATTTAGTAATTTGTTTATTTTTATCGTTAGGGCATGGTCTACATTGCCTAACGACCTCTGGGTATATAGATGTAACCTACATACGATCATAAAAAGCCAATTGAGCATTGGAAACCACCTAATATGTTCTACTTAAGCCATAATATTGTATTTTTAATTTGCGGCTACGCAAAAAATTGATTGACGGTTACGCGAACCTCGTTCAAATATATATATCCCAGATCCATTGTTATTAATTTTGTCATATTCATCAGTACTTGATGCTAATTCTTCTTTTGCCTCTTCATTGCTATCTTTTTGACTGAAATTGGTTTCATAAATAAAGCAAGGCACAATTTTTTTTCCTTGCCCTATAGAGGCTCAAACAAGAGCGTCTCTTGCGAGTACTGAAAACAAATATAAGCAATTCAATATTCCATTTCTTAGCTAGTATAACAATTACATGGAAAGAGGCTATCAGAACTAGCAACCTTAACTTGAAAGATGTGCATGCACGTAACCGTCCGCTAAATATCTAATGTACATCTAATACAATCGAACCCAGTCTTTATAACCATCCATATATACGTCACCGAATGAAACTAGTTGAAAAGGAAATCTTATCTGTGAATCTTGCCTACAGGCGAGAAAGAGGACATGCTGTCTCTCCCATCCGCCATTTTTTGTTATCGTTACCGCAAAATTTTGTAAATCGCCTTGTCGTAACCGCCATGCTATAACACCGTGGTTACATTTAATGTGTAGTCACTTTCTTTTTTTCACTGTCAACCCAATCTAAAAATAAGCAACCAAGAGACCCGAGTGCAATATCACATATGCAAAAGGTCTATATGTTGGATTGCTTGTGGTTTGGCTAATAAAATGTGTGGCCATGTTATTCGAAAAAATAACGATTCTGAAACTTCCTAAATTATTAGGGATAATAAGTTTATCAGACATTTATCAGAAATATACAAGCTTTGCATGTACAATATCAATGTGTTTTTCTATATAATATTCCACTGTATTGCTTATTTTATTGATTTGATTGACAAAGAGGAAAAGTGATAGGAGTGAAGGGTAACATGGCGAAAATCCATTTCAAAATATTATTCATATCGCGATTTTATATTTTGTATAATAGTGAACTTGAATCACAAATAGTGTCCAGGAGACCATCGTCGCTATTTTATTTATGATTATTATTCAACATATAGTTTACAAACAAATATGCCTTATAAAATCATAAATTTCAGAATTTCAAAATGGCTTCGAGTGAAAATGATAGACAGTTTCATAACATAGAATCTATGTTATGACACTCGAAGCTTAAGTGCTTATGCAGTTATGCTTATGCAATGTTCACCTTGCAAATCTCTTTAATTTTCAGTTTTTCAGTGATATCATTAGAAAATATATTCACTTCTTTCGCTAACAAAAAACATATTAAATAAGTAGTACTAGAGTTTTGACTTAACACGTGGATATCATCAGATTCCAATGGAGGCCATTAAAAATACCTAAAATACACTATGACCTAAATCATTGCAAATTAAATAATTTCACAATATGAAACAAATGGTATATCACATCAGATGTGCAAATATGACGTTTGCAATCGATTCAGGCACGGTTATACTTCAAATTAAAAGATTATACATTTTTCATCATTTTTTCTCAACAAGTTGGCTTTAGAAAGGTGCTTCAAAGCAACTTTTACACTTATGAAATTCCATACAACTTTGTAAATCCAAAGATTATACTGTTATGTTTCATTAATTAATAACATATTTGGATGAGATGTAGGGATGAGTAGGATGCAAATGGATTTTGACAGACACAAAAATACTTTCTGGTTTGAAATCTATGCCTCTACATTTCATGATTGAATTATGACCCTAATAAGTGGCACATATATCAATACAGTGCTCAATACATAATAAAATCAATGTAATAATAAAAGAAGTATACTCACTTTGAAAAATCAGATGAATAATTGTTTTCATGGGAGATCATAATGGAGGGCGCACTACTTTCTTGGGGCCTTTCTTTACAAACTCACCTCTACTCCTTTCAATAAATCGACTTCAAATGGTTGTGAAAAAACAAGTCTGGAACGATTTACGGTGGGTAGTATTGGGCACCGTGTTACAGTAATGCCTTGGTCATATATGCTCCGATCCATCGGCCGGCGCCCGGTCGATTGAGTATTTTGTTTAATATTGTATTCAATTTTGAACAAAATACTCAATCGGCCGGGCGCCGTAGTGAAAATCGTAGCACATGTGACCAAGGCATAACATGACTCGTAACTCTTGATCTCAATATTCCTTTATTATTGATCTTCCACCTTAAACCCTTCAGCAGGTTGTAATAGTTTTCAATAATGGCCTTACCACTTAAAGACATTGTTTATCTCTCAAAACTGAAATTTTGGACAGAAAACATTTTGGAAACAGAGAACAATGAAAGAATCAATATACAGACAAGTTGTTTTTTAGATTGACAGATTCAATCTCCTGATAGAAGGCAGAAACGCTTTGATATTGAATTTCTTTACATGCATTTTTGAATTTGTCAATTTTCAAATGATATTTAACTGATTTCTTTTTTATCTGTACATCTTTCCAATAATACCCTAAGGCTACTTTATAGAAAGTTTCAATTAATTTGAGTAACCTACTGGTGAGAAAACACTTGTCAAAAAGTTATTCACTTTTTGGACACCCGATATATCGTATGTACATTAACGTCGGTATAACATCAATATATTATGTGTGGTTGGAAGCCTCTATTTTTTTCGCAGCAAGTAAAGTAAGTAATATAAAGTGGAAGAAACGATTACAAAAAAAGTAAATCAATGAACAGTATTAATAATGTCATTATTCGTCTTCAATTTTTCAAGAATAAGAAAGGTAAGTAAGTCAAATGAAGTATCGTTTTTAGTGTATTGTAATGCATTTATTTTACAGTCTTTGATTGGAGATGATCCGTTGCAATTGTTGACAGTGTTATATAAAATACGTTGTAAACGTACTCTTTAAATTAACCAGATTTAAGTTATTAACGTATACGTACTGCTTTGATAAATTGACAATTATTATTAACATTACTAGGTTGTGTCTCATACATGACGAGCAAAGGTGTACGTATGTACTATAATGCAAATCGATATATTTATGCTAATGACATCGGCATCACATCACCATTTCATGAATTGAAGGATAAATTGTTGACTGCATTAGGGATGCAAAAAGTAAATGTCCTTGACAACGTCGGGTTCAACCACTTTCAGCATATTGTTTCCTAGAATGGTCTCAAGTTAAGCTAGACGATTCAAAAGTAATTCTGTGATACGTTCCTCAACATTGCCCTGAAAATGTAAGACAAACAGCATATCAAATCAAATTAAACATACGTCCAAAATCTCTTCAAAAACAGGGCAACCATCATGTGATGAACGTATATGAAATTAGACAAACATTTAAATTGATATAAAATCATTTTACAGTAAGCATGTACCTTCTTTTCAAGCATAGTCTTCTTCTGCACGTCAATCGCACGGGCCCTGTCATGAAGTTCTTTCATAATTCTATTAATCTCGATCTCGTACTCCATTTCTTTCCCTAAGTCTGCCCTTTCCTCCGTCTTCAATAGACTGCCAGTCTGCTGGTTGTTTTTGTAACTTCTTGAAATCGGAGAGTAAGTTCTGGTCTGAATTTTCAAATCGTTGGTTAATTTACTTTCTGCCACACCAGCTTCGATCGGAGTTGATACAGTCCTAGTCTCAACTTTCACATCGTCACCAAATATATCTTTTGTCTCATGATATATCTGAAAATTGTTTTTGTTTCATTGTAATGACGGAGTATACTACTATAATGTTTCACCGTTTCATGTTTGTAAATCATATGTATGGGAAGAAGTACGGACAAAACCCCACTAACACACCAAACTAGTTCGCAACCGTCCTTTCCAGCCCTTTAAAAATGTAAAGCGGGCTAGATCTGACTGTGGTTTGGAAATATGTGTAAAATAAATAGCTACTTCGTTCATAAACAGTCTTCAATACGTCCATCTCATTGGCAGTTTGTTCAGGTCGCGCCATGTCGGTGTGTACACGCACTCCAATTGTATATCGGATTGTTTACGGGATTTAACGTGTTCTTAGTAGGGTCGAAGTACGGGAATAACGTTTCTAGTCTAGTAGGTCACCTTGTTTGAAGTAAGTTGTTACACGGTGTGATTACAGAATGGTAAGGTCGCCATCGGATTTCGAAATAATTCTAAATTCTAAATCACCTTCTCGTTCATGCACGTCCATAAAGTTTGTAAATAGACTGTAGAAAGTTGGAGCTATGCTCATTCCGTTCGCATAAAATTTAAAACAATTTCGGCAACGTTTTTAAGAACGTAGTTGCAACTAGTTTAATGTGATACCCGTTTGCAACTCATTCTATCTCGTTCTCAATACGTCCTTAGATAATTCAAGTCGTTCTAAAAAACATCCCTACCAGGATTTAAGCACGACATTTTCCTTCGTAGTTCGTCCAATTCGTCTTAAGTACGTTGTCATTCGTTCTAATTGCAGAACGTCACGACCATCAGAAAATTGTGGGTATGCTCCAAGTTCTGGAGGGCCTACCCGTTCGAGGAGGTTCATGAAGTTTGTAAATAGTCTCTAAATGGTTTTAAGTACGCCCGGTCCGTTCGTACACAGTTTAAGCCCATTTTCGAGAACGTAATGAGAACTATTTTGGTGTGATAGTAGGGTAACAAAAGAGGGGACTGAAAATATGTTTTGCAACTTCATTAACAAAACAAAAATCAAATCGAAGATACTTATGAAAGCAAGAATATATTTTCTAGCTTTGTGCCAAATTATAATCTTCAACTTGACTTATAAGTAGGTTTAAATCGAAAAGTACAAAAAGCTCGTAACCAGAAAGTTCATCCATTTTGTTAAATTGACAATGACATTCCGTCAAAGTTAGCAGCTGTGGAACAATGTAATTGCAAACGGGTTTAAACTGATTAAGGACCTATTAAAAAAAGGCTGCTTCGAGTTAGTAAAAATATAGCTATGACACCAAACTAGTTGCTACTGCGTTCTTCAAAAGGTGCAAAACTGGTTTTAAACTGTCTGCGAACGGTTAAACTGTACTGTCTGCGAACGGAAAGAACGTAGCTGCAACTTTCTACCGTCTATTGACGAACTTCATGGACTTGCTCGGACGGAAAGGTGATGTAGAATTTTGAATTGTGTCAAAATTCTGTAATTAGATCGTGTCACAACGTACTTCAAACGAGATGACCTACTAGACTAGGAACGTAATTGCCGCACTTCGAGTCTTCGACCCTACTAGAGACGTGTTAACGACGTTGTAAACTCGGATATCAATTTCAGTACGGGTACATACTGACATGTTGAGACCTGAAGTTCCTGAACGAATGAGATGGACGTGTAAGAAGATAAGTCATTTACCCTACTATCACACCAAACTAGTTTTCACTACGTTCTCGAAAACCGTTTGGGGTCTATTTACAAACTTTATCGAACGTACTCGAATGGGTAGGTCCTCTAGATCTTAGAACATGCTCAAAATGTTCTTGTGGTCGATACGTTCTACAATTAGAACGAGTGACAACGTACTTACGACGAGCTGAACGTACTACGAACGGAACCGTCTGAGGACGTATTGAGAACGAGGTAGAACTAATTGCAAACGGGTTTAAACTGATTAAGAACGTATTTAAGACTGCCTATGAACTAGTTAGCAAAAATATAGCTATCACACCAAACAAGTTGCCACTGCGTTCTTCAAAACTAGTTTTAAACTGTGTGCGAACGGAATGAACGTAGCTGCAACTTTCTAAGGTCTATTTACGAACTTCATGAACGTTCTCAGACGGGAAGGTGATTTTAGAATTTTGAATCGATTTAAAATTCGATGACGACCATACCGTTCTGTAATCAGGTCATGATGACCTTCTAGACTAAGGGACGCGTTATACGACGTTGCACACCGACGTGGTGCGACCTGAACGAACTGCGAATGAGATGGACGTATTGAAGACTGTTTATGAACGAAGTAGCTAATTATTTAAGACATATTTCCCGACCACAGCCAGATTGAGGCCGTTTTACGACGCTTTCGTAGGACTGGCAAGAACGGGTAAGAACTAGTTTGGTGTGATAGGGGGGTTAGTAGCTGTGTAAAAAGTTTCAGGTGTTCTTCATTGTAAAAATATGTAAACAGTAATTTGATGAGGTAATCTGCAAAAATTATAGCTGTTTCTTTATGTATATTGTAGTATATGATAATATTATTATGACAACCCTCGTACAATTAGATCGGGTGACAACAACGTACTTCAAACGAGACGACCTACTAGACTAGGAACGTAATTGCCATACTTCGGCCCTACTAGGGACGAGTTAACGACGTTGTGCAATTGGATATCAATTTGTAGTGCGTGTGCATACCGACATGGTGCGACCTGGACGAACTAGGAATGAGATGGACGTATTGAAGACTGTTTATGACATATTCTATATATGACATATATTTTTGACATATTTCACGACCACAGCCAGACTTAGCCCGTTTTACGGATTTTTCGTTGAACTGGAAAGAACGGTTGAGAGCTAGTTTGGTGTGGTTGGGGCTTTAGGGATAAAGCCCCCTCACATATGAACGAATACACTAAACGCAGTCTTTCGAAGAGGAATTGAGTAAAATTCGTTTCCATTAGTATATGTACGTTGTTCATCGCTGGGGCGTTCGTAAATCTTTCATTCGGAAATCTCCGGAAACACGCGCAAAGATGTGATTCGGTTCGCAAGTTTACGTTCCCAATCGACAGAATTGACATCGCAAGACTGCGTTTGATGGAATATTTCATATGTGAGGGGGCCTTAAGAGCAAAAGTCAGGAAGTGATTTTTAATAGATGGATATTTGAACTTAAATTGGATCAATTCTTCGATTAGGTCACGTTTTAGTTTTTTGGATCGATGTGTTAATATAACACGAAGGGAAACTCATAATTACTAATTACTAATATTCAAAATTTCTGTTTTAGAGATCGGCTACTCAGTTGAGATGCCGTTTATCTAGGAAGTCATTTGTCAATGGTCAATTTTTCCCCATGTTAAGTCAATGCAACCTTTCTGAAATCCTCTTTTTCTCAGAAGAACTCAAGTTTATCGCGTCTCAACAAGTAGATTCATGTGGAATGTTATAAAAACCCTTCGACCTGCACCTTCGACCTTCAGCTTCGACCTACAGGGTATCCAAAAAGCGGGCCAAAAAGAAAGTTATAAAAACCCTTCGACCTGCACCTTTGACTTTTCTTATGAAAATTGTCAAAGTCCAAAAATGTTTCTTTGAAAAACGACTAAGTCCAACTTCACACAGATTATGAAATTGAACGGAGCTCTGTCCTCGTCGAAAGCTATAGCTGTCATCTCTTGAGTTTACATCGGCGAAATACTTTATATGCCTGGTGACGTCATCACTTTTCGGACAAGATTTGAAAGTTAAATAACAAGTTATTGACGCCATATCCCGTTTTAATATTGATCACACAACAAGACTATGATTTGAACTCAATAAATAGAACAGTAATTGATCGCTACTTACTCTAATCTTACTTCGATTCAATCGAATCAAAACCAGGAAGTAAGTTCTAAAAAGGGAAACTTCCATTTAAACTACCCGATTGACTACCCGATCAACATCAACAGAATCTTAATTTGATAACATGAAAACGCTATTTCACCCCTGTAACTATACCTAGAGTACTGCAAACGTTGCTACAATTTAAGATCTTAACGATCTCACCTGTGAACCACAAATCAAGTGACTCTTGCGTGGTCTGAGATCGGCAAAAATAGCTTCTGTAATATTTTCTTTTTGGACACCCTGTAAGTCGAAGGTGCAGGTCGAAGGTGCAGGTCGAAGGTCGAAGGGTTTTTATAACATTCCGATTCATGTTGGATAGTATTGCAATAATCTATTTTTCAATAGTAAGAATATGGTTCTTAAACAGGACATTGGGCTTGTTTTTTAGAATTTTTACTAAATTGTTACGGAAACAAAATGGCCAAGATTTTGATCATGCTTTTCATTTTTCATTACAGGCAATTAAAAATCATAAAGTGAATTGACATAATATTATCTATAATTTTGTCGCCCACGATTAACCGATACTTCATAAAAATATAAAAAGCTCAAAAATGTTATTTGGAATACATAAATTGAACACGACATTTCCGTTTAAGCTAAAAAAATTGTGAAGAATTGGTTTTCAAGTTTTATGCATACATGATCGATTCATCGAGAGTTTAATTTAGTTCCCTTTCCTTATATAATAACCCTACTGTACTTACTTTTAGGCCAATGGCTCCAAGGCTGTTCAAAGAAGTGCAAATTTCACGCATCTTCTTCGAGATCTTGTCCGATATTTTGGACATATCGACGTCTTTATCATCATCACTACGATCACTCCCATCATTCTCTGCGGATCCCTCAGCGCTTCCTTCAGCACTTCCTTCTGCGGATCCCTCAGAACTCCCTTCAGTGTCTCCTGTGGCGTTGATGAATAAATAATGTTATTACAAATTGAAAATATATGAACCACTTCCTCCTGCGGATCCCTCAGAGCTCCCTTCAGTGTCTCCTGTGGCGTTGATGAATAAATAATGTTATTACAAATTGAAAATATATGAACCACTTCCTCCTGCGGATCCCTCAGAGCTCCCTTCAGTGTCTCCTGTGGCGTTGATGAATAAATAATGTTATTACAAATTGATAATTTATGAAGTATTTTCAGAATAACGCCATGTAGGGGGGGGGGGGGGGGTCAAAAGCGTTTGTTGTGCCTTTTCATCCAGTCCTGAAAGTCGTGGTACATATCGTCGTTGCCTACTTTATAACAGTGGGATTCCCAGATGATCTCATTACTGTCCTAAAAGTGGATAACTCGTAATTTGTTCTTCACTGTGGGGAAAAGATCTAAATCACAGCCAGCTAAGTCTGGGGAATACGGAGCGTGTGGTACACGGTCACAGCCGATGGAATCAATCACATTAACAACTGTTACAAAGTATGCAAAGACGGTCTGTATCACGTCTGTATCACATGGTGTGATCTATGTATTACAGTTATGTTGTGTGAAAAAATCACTAAGAAAGGTTAAAAAATGGCAAAAATAGAGCCAATAGTCCTGAAATTCCTGATCACCCCTCGTATTTATGTTTAAATGAATTTAAAGTGTCATGGTACTTAACAGAAAATGACAAAACAGGAAGTGACAAAACTATGCTGGATTTTGAATATTTTAGAACCAAGATAAAGAGTTGCACATATCATTGACATGACCAGGATCACAATGTGCATGGTCAGAATGGGCCTAAACATGATGGAATAACCTTTTCAGCCCTCTGAAAATGTGACTGAAAAATAGTTAGAAGTAGGAGCTTAGGAAAGGTCAATGAACAGAATGTTTTGAATTTTTCAGAAAATGTGCCCAATATATTGCTCTTACTGATGCAATCTTTGAAATTTTAGAAAATTGTCTGAATCAAAAATGGCGGTCATAAAAAGGAAAATAAATAGCTTTTCAATTCATTTTTTCATTTATTTCTTTTTCTAGGAAATGATATCAATGATCTTTCATTCGTTATCAATATGGAACATTGAAGCAGGTCTGAAGCTACTTATATAAGGATTGAGCACGTATCATATTGTTAAGAATGCCAAGATCTTATTCTAACTAATTTTTCGTACCAGCTTCTCCCAATGTACGGCTAAGCATTTCTACGGCACCTTCGATGTAGCCAGCCAGTGCTTCATTTTTCAATGCACGTTCGGTAACATCTGTTTCTGGTCCCAAATCTTTCAGATCAGCGCACCAAGCGGTAAGAGCTAGAAATATGACAAATAATAGACTACTTCAACAACAATATTTATTACGATTCTTATGTTTCAAGGAGGTTTATCAACACAACTCCAGTTCAAAAGAAAGAACATATCTCCAATTAGGTTCGGCATTTACATCTACAATATAGTGATGAGATACTTATTTAACGACGTTTTACAAAAGCTTTTACATCTTGCAGGAAAAATTCACTTTGATGCGACCTTTTCATACCAGTCATGTGTTCTATGGACTTCATAGCCAGAGCTTCATCCAAACTTGTACTTATTGCATCATTGGCTTTTGTCTTTTTGTTCTTTTTCGTGTGTTTCTTGTGAGTTTTGTGGTTGGAGGCAGCTTTCTTCTTGGCTTTTTCCTTAACACTGTCAGAGCCTTCAAGCAATCCTTCAAGATTGTATTCTTCAATGAGGCTTAGAAGCTTTTTCGAAGGTCCTTTCTGCGAAATATATAAAATAAACAATGAACATATGACGTGATGTACATATATTAGTATAATTATAAGTATACGATTTTTATTGGTTTGAATACCGTATAGAAATTGCATTTACAACTAATAACTATGAAGGTTATCGATAGATACAAAGTGAGAAAATGCAAATCTTCGATACACAAAAACTAGAATGCCCAGGGGAGGAATATTCCATAAGATAAATCGTGTCCTCTTCAATAAAATGGAAAACAATAATTCCAATGTTATTTTCCCATAGGGAAAACTCTTGCGATCCATTGGTTAGCCAATTTTGGTCACCCATAATGGATATCTTTAAAACCCCTGGAAGAATAACTTATTCCTTTAAAGGGGCTAACTGCGTCTTAAAACGTATGCATATTGATAAACAACATAGTGATGCAACAAAAATTGAAAAAGCAGGGTGGAAGGGTTGAAAATCAGGACGACATTTCATAAAAAACTTGTGGGTGGGTTGTTTGCATCTCCCCTGTTTCACAGTCGAAATTATATTATCATCTCGATGAGTGCTTTTCCTGGAGATAATGCATTGGCCTAGCATATGCACCTGTTGCAATCCTCAGAAAATAGCCAAAATCCAACATATGACTGTCCGAAATCTGTTGCGATACTTTCTCTCCTCCTTTCCTATAATTGTCGACTCATGTTTAAAAGTCATGACAACAAGGTTGAACATAAGACATTGGCCCAGTTACTTTACTGTCTATTTATCATGGGATCACTAAAGGGAATATTATTAATGACTTTAATCGTTAATAGTCATGCTGTATTCCAAGAAACTGATCAATTTAGAAATGCAAAAGGTTCAATTTTGTTTTTCAAATGGCACCTGTAGAGAACAACTTTTACAAAATTATTAAAAACTGAGATATTTACTTATGTAATATTCGTTGGCATGTGTCAGGGAGTAAATAAGTAGAATATGCTTTGATTCTATATCTTGTTCCCAAAGGAATTTGTCAAGGAGCAATATATCTTAACGTACCTTTATCATCCCGAACTCAAACATTTCGAATACTTATTTCGCGAACGCTTTGTTGAGAATGGAATTCGATATGTACTCAAAATTAATACGTTAAAATGTATATTATCATCTTAATAACCACCTCACAAATTATTTTGGAAATCAACGATGTTCAATTTTTGAGATTTTTATTTTCGAATGTTGACTTAGTTACTGGACTTGACTGTAATACTTGTAGTTTGCCAACATCAAATGATGACTTGACAGATATCTCAGTATGCAATACCGAGATTACTTATGAGTACGAGTTAAATACGGATTATGTATCACGACCTTAGCATGAATACTTAAAATTGTATAATTTGCTGCCACCTCCCACGGGCACCACCTACATCGTTATTAATATGATCTTACTTGCAAGATGAATTATGGTATCATGTCCACGTGGCATCATTCAATGCATGAAACGTTGAAATATAAAATGAGTAGACATGGGGGCGGAGTATTGACCTCTAGACGTTTTTGATATACCGTATTTAATTTCAGGTATAGCATCGTTACAATGTACAAAGACAAAGTTACTGATTTTTTGTACTAGGTTGTATTTGATAAATATTAATGCAAATCGATGTGCAACAATAAAAATTACAAACAAGTAGTACACATGAGTAACCCCCTTCTTTTTTTAATTGAATGTGTTTTCGAAATTGATGGGATCTATCAACTATTGAATAAATATGGTTAGTATTAATGTCTTAAATCAGGCATATCCACAGACTAGGCATCCTGAAAATCAGAGACATTGCCGCTGCGTTCATACTTTCAAGTAACATACGGGAACTATTAGCTAATTTCTGTTTTAATTTAGTTTTTTCTAAAATAGTTCTAAGATGATACTCGTCTCTGTAATATATATGGCTGTTACCAAATACACACTTTGCACCGACATACCTTCAAATCATATAGCAGCTTCAAGATCTCTACCTTCTCTTCTTCGGAAAATTCGCGCTTGCTCAACAACTGTTTAAGTTCTTTAACTGTGCTGTCGGCATTGTTATCGACGGGTAGACTTAAGGCATAGCTGATCAACACTGCCATACACGTCACTAGCAACAAACGCTTTGTCGTCATCTTGGTTACTGGTACAGAGCAACTCCGGTTAAGAAATCTAAGAATATATAAGGGTATTAAAACAATGGCAAAAGCTGACTCCGTTCTGTTGCCGAGGATCAATGATTTGATTAGTGTTCAGCTCCATCAGGGGGTAGAAACGCGTCCAGTATTTTCCTCTGGTACAAACCGAGATACTGGACGCAAACCTCCATTTTTGATCCAGAGCGAGGAAGGTGCTATTTTACTTGGTAGCCTGTGATCGTTTTATAGTGTTTCCTTATCTAGGAAAAAGGCTCATCAGATTCCCAGTACATTGAGGAACACACAATTCTTATAAAATGACAGTTATTCATCTAGATTTTTGCAATGTGGGGTAAAGCATAGAAATATTTTGATTTTTTCCCAGGAAATACACGAATTGAGTCAGATTTCTTTTTATTTACCATTTCATTGACAAGATATGCAATTTTCTTGTGTATGGAATAAGAATACAGCTTCCAGTCCGCAAATTTTAGCTTTGAAATGATCGAAAATAGAAACTGACGAAATTTAAAGAAATACCGGACGAAATGAAAATGTACTGAACGCAAGCCGTCTGGTATTAACAGGTTTGCGTCCAGTACATTTTTTATTTCGTCCAGTATTTTTAAAATTTCGTCATTTTTCTTTTATCGACCACTTTAAAGTGTGTGCGTAAATATATAGAGTGCGCAGGTGTCGGTACTCGGGGACTATAAATAGGGTCAACCAGCAAAGTTTGGCTCAGATTGTAGGTGTCAGAGGACGGTCGAAACACATGCTAAACAATTATCCATATGTTTGCAAGTCTACCTATGTAACATATTATTCTATATTGCAAATACTTATTTAAAATGTTACTCGTAATAGGGTGTATTTTCATGTATTGATGTAGTTTTGAGTACATACGTATTTTTGAAAAATATTGAAAACGTCATAATTTTGTACTTTTATTTTACATAACTGTACATATAAATTGTATCTCCATTTTATTATGGGCAATAAAGATACACAATACAATACAATTAGGCTAGGCAAATTGAAGTTTAACATCCCCAAAATTGCAACAGTTTTTAAATTAGGCTTATATTGTGTATTGATACCAGTTGAAAACATATCAAAAATGTAGAAAAATATATGCAGTGGACAAATACGAAATGTCACATTCTAGGTACCCCCCTCCAAATTTGAGTATGGGATTGTAAATATTTTTTTATTTCAAAATGGGATGCTCTTCTCAACTAAACGAGTAATATTATGATAGTTTACTGACATACGAGCAACTGAAAATTGTTAACCAACTATTTTGAGTTCAATAATTGGCATTTCTAGCCCAAAATATCTGAAAATAGGCCATCAAATAGCCCGAATTTAATATAACAATGTATTTATTTCTGAAAATAATATTTGAAATTTCAATATTTTACCACACACACTTTTGGGGTGACCTTACTTTTGTTTAATTACTTCCAAGATATGTCATATTTGAACTCAATAGCACAACTAGATTATTTGTAAAGGCTTATTTTGTCCTGAAAACAGTTTTTTGATGTTTTCAGGAAAGGCTTATTAAAAAAAAAAAATAGAAAAACAGCAAATGCCAGGTGAAATATAGGGGAAGCCCTACTTTTAGTTGATAACTGCTAAATTATCAAATGTTTTTTCCTTTTAAATTCAATTTGATATATAATATACCTTTTTCTGGTAAAAGAGAGAACGATTTGTTAGAAATTAAGTACAATCGGTGGTCTAAAAATATCCTTGAAAAGGCAACAAAATGTTAAATATCCCTGTCCCTGACATCAGTTTATTAATATGAGCCAAAAAAGGTAACCCAACTAAATGTTTGTTAATAACCCAGTCATTCAGCATGGGTGTGACATCATATTTGGCACAATTACCTTGTTCAATGTTCTTTCATTCTCCTAAGTGTCATTGATCTATCCTTAATAGTCACGATTTTATAGCCATTTACAAAATGTGTTCAAAATATCGAAATGTGCCTAACTGACTGGACATCAATACCACCATTTTTATTATCTGTGGACCTTTTTTTCTATACTAACAACACTTGAAACATTAAAACAAGAGATAAGAATGAAGATGAGAGCCATGACACAAGATTTTTATGCTCCTGATTTGAACAACTACGTACCATACGTTCAAGTTGGCCCCCAGGCATGACACTCATATTTCATGGCATGGTATAAAATGGCCATAAAAATCATGACCACTAGAGATAGACCACTGAGACTGGGTAGATTGATAATACATTGACCAAGGCTCAATTCTGCCAAATATGACACTAAATCCATGCAGGATGACTAGACTGGGTTATTAAGATTTGTTTGGGTTACGTTTTTGGCTCGCCCTGTATTAAGGAAAAAGTGTTACTTTTGACTAAGGTGTTCTTAACCACACAGTGATATTGAGAAATGTAATGAAGAAGTTCAACTGAAGAATGTTGGATTTCAAGATGAAATTTAATAAAAAATGAGGAAAAGGTTTCTACGTTAATAAATACTACTGAGTTAACTAGTGTAAATCCCTGGTCTTTATACAGGGCATGGCTCGATTATGTAATGTTCATTATCAAAAATGCTGCCTTAATTTTGTAATCTCAACCTTCATATGTGTCTTACTTATAGAGAGCAAAAAATAATGCTGATTAAATAATCTAATATTATGTTGTAACAACAATCAGTTACAACCTTGTCTATCACCAGTCTTCATCAGGGGTGGATCTGGGAACCAACAAGGGGGGGGGGCAAATTTCAGGTCTGAGAAAAAGATTTCTGCACTTGCGCGAAAAAAAATGTTGGGCCCCTAAACCCCTCAAGTGGGCTCAAATTTTGAAATATTGAGGCCCATTTTCTTCAAAATTTGTCCTGAAATTAAAAAATAAGGCCTTAAAAGGCCCTCTTATGACCAAAAAGGCCCACTTTTTAGGGCCTTTAGGCCTTTTTTGGTCCCAATTTTTATTTGCGGCCCACCCAAGGGGACCCCCAGCCCCTCCCCCAGATCCGCCAGTGTTCATTATTTAGTCATCAGTATTTTCATGATCAGTTATGGAGGTATTTGGTATTTGCACAAATGCCTTTGCATACCTACTTCACACAATGGATGATCTCTGAGAGAGGAGAGCTGCATTTAGGCAATGTGAACAAACGTTTCGTTGCTTATATTTCCCAGCAGTTTATTTCCCTCCCACTCCTGGATCTGATGGTACACTCTATAATTGTTGTTTTCCGCAGCATCAGAAGTTGGAGGAAGAACACGGGGCTGCAATAATTCAGATCTTGCTGCTCTCTTTTAATATAATTTTTGAAGCCTAAGTTCATTTAGGGTTTCACAATTTTTCCACCATAAATTGACAAAAGAGCATGTTCCTCTGCAATGACAGAGTTACTTGCATTTCACTGGTTTTCCACTTGATTACGTTGTAACAAAATGTCGAAACATCGAAGATATGATTTTCCTTTTTTCCTTATTTCACACGTTGTAGGCAGAATTATCACAAACATGTATCAATATTATATGTTTAAAAAATGTACATATTTGCGAACAAATAGTTCAGAAGACAACAGAATCATCGATTTACTTCCTCACTTAAGTTACATAAACGGTATTTTGATAAACAGTTAAGATCTGCACTTTGAACTGCCACCGTTTATGTAACTTAAGTAAGGAATTAAATCAACAATTCTGTTGTCTTCTGAGCTATTTTTGCGCAAACATGTACATTTTCTAAAACATACTGATACACGATTGTGAGAAAAAAACATCCTGGGGATTCTGCCTACAACGCGTGAAAAAAAAGGAAAAAAGAAATATCGTGCCTTCGACGTTTAGACATTTTGTTACCGAAACGACCCGCTTGTTTTCTCAAGAACTCACTCTTTTCTATCTGCCTCAATGATAGCTTCTTGTCTATGCCATATATAACCTGAATGCGTTGTCACACCCCAGAAAAGATAAACAAAATATTGTCACAGACCACTTTTCCCATTTTCTCATTTATATTCCAACATTTTGATTCTTGGGTTGCTGCTTTTGGTTCAGGTTTGAAGAAAATGTTGAAGTTTGTGTTTTGTGCTTGATAAATGAGAAGCACAAGGAGATGTGTATGAGTACTGTATTTGAGGTTTGGACACTTTGCATTGCAGTTTTCACAATCACAATATCTGCATCCGATTCTGAATGTAGCACATGTATACTCAATGTTTTCCAACCCGACAGACAGATTTACCATCATTCCTACGCACTGAAATTATATTAATGAAAGACTCTCCAGATATCTGAGATTTAAATGTGCTCTATCAGTTTAAATTCCGTTTAATAACCATAAATTCGTTTCTACAGCATTATACATCCAATTGATAGTTCCAAAGTAATATACTCTAATGTAATGATTTATTTATCTGATGAATTTAAATTTTGTAATTGCGGATTGTAAATAATAATTTAAACAATATTAAATTCCACAGAAACTACAACTTACATTATTTAGATAAGCCTAGTATAGAGCAGTTATCAAATACCCTAATATTAGAGTGGTGATATGTAATTATTCATCAAATAAAAGTGAGGTCACCTTAACATTTCACCTGGTGCAACTAATAATTCCTATTTTTCATACTAATAAGGTATAAACCGTCACAAAACTTGTATTTTAGATGATGACAAACCTATATAAATGATTTAGATGTCAACTCTAATTCAAATGTGATGCATTGTGGGAGTTAGTCATCAAAACTATAGTCTCCCCTATAGTAGGCGGGGCAAAACTATGAAAATGAAATAATATTTTTCTTCCTAAGTATACATGTTAGAATTCTGACACTCACCAAATATGAAGTTCATATAAATATGTAACACCATGATTTTTTTCATGCTTTTCTGACAAACTGATCCTAAAATATCTAAATAGATATGTGATAACATGCCTGTTTTGTGGTCTATTTTGTAATACTTTGGGGTCAAATGACCAATTACTTGTCTCAAAAATGATTAAAATAATATTTTACTTATTTGTGAATATGTGATCTATCATAATAAAGCTTGAATACTTGACTAAAGTACTCCATTTGGGAAGGAAAAATTGTTTCCTACCAATACTCAATTTCGATAAATTCTGTATTGGAACGAGACGAAGTCGAATGCCAATATAGAATATCGAAACAGAATATATCCTGATCTGTAAAATGAAGAACTAGTTATTTTGACAGAACGTGAATGTAACAAATGGTTTTAACTTACAGTTGGGGACAAATATAAATGACAGGTCGACTTTCGATCACCATTTCCTAATTATGGTGGTCTGAAAGCCCATAATTTCCAATATTGTCTAGATACATATCCCTTAAAATTTGTATATTTTACATTTTGTATAATCTCATCCACTGATTTATGGCCTCTTGTAAATTCTCTTATTTTTAACATGGGAAATCCTCACTTCAGCAAATCCACCTGTCATTTATTTATGTCCCCAACTGTAGAGGGATTTTGACTGGTTCCTTTTGTAATTATAACCTAAAAATTCTCAAAAACATATATTCCCATTCTAAATGATATTACCAACAATTCAAACTAGGCTATGTGTTAAATTTACTTACATTCGTTAGCAGCTAAATTAGCCTCCGTCAGTATTGAACTTTCTTTGCATACAGTTACGGGTCACCTGAGTGGTAATCTGGACTGATATATATTTTAAAGAAAACGCAACCAACTTAATAACCCCCTGCAAGGATTTCATGGTTTCCCCATATTTTAGATTGTCGGAAACTAACGAAGCCAATCCGTCTATTGGTGTGTTCCCTCTAGAAGGTAATCATGTAGAACATCATTAGATTGAATTGAGTAAAGGGGGAAAATGATAAGTTCAAATACTAGATATGTTACATACATGTATGTAGGGGATAATGTGATGTAAAGTGCCGTGACGAAGTTCACAGGGACTAATCTGAGCTCAACCACGGGTAGTATCTAAAGCCCCGCTAATGTAAAGTGCCGTGACGAAGTTCACAGGGACTAATCTGAACTCAACCACGGGTAGTATCTAATGCCCCGCTATGATTTAGAAGTCGCAAGTAAATTGATTGTACGTTGTACAAATTTTCTTCAATTATAACATGAACATGGTACCGATACTAAAAAGCAACTGCTGCAAAAAAAGTATCACAAGCTGATATTCTGAGTTTCGTTATTTGATAATTGGAGAGAGAATGTATCATCTTGAATCTTTATCTAGAGATTTCTATACTTTATAGCTGGAGACGGTCGTTACCCTTCATTTGAAATGGTCATAGTGATATGAAATAAAGGTATTCTGATTTTCACGCTTCACCAAAAATTACATATTTCAATTTTAACATATCGCCCAAGGCCCCGCTTCTACCATGAGCAATAAACTTAAGATCCCGCTGAAAACATGAGGAGGCCCCGCTGGAAACATAAGGAGCTCCCGCTGAAATCAGGAGCAAGTGTCTTTCCAAAATGGAGTGAAGCCCGATTTAAACTCTGCAAATCTCCCACGACTGTAGCTAACGTAACAGATATATAACTATTACCACCTTGCCGGGCCAGTTCTAGGGGATTTAGTGCTAGTTTAGAAGGCATTCATTTTATTATATCGACCTGAGCAATATGTGACGTCATAGTGGTGGTCAAGAATGCATTCAACCACCGGTCGAGAATGCATTTAACGACCGGCAATTTTCCCCGGGAAATTAGATATCGTTCAGTGCGTAAGATTTTCTTGCTGTTTCAGTCCTGGTCATTAACGGTGGTAATAATACTAATAATGTCATTTCTGCGGGCAATATTAAGCAAATATTTCATTCTATGGAGGGCAATACCTGTTCATCTTTCAATGATTTTTGCAGCATGTATTGCCCGCAGCCCGAAGGGCGAGGGAAATACATGCTGCAAAAATCATTGAAAGTGCAACAGGTATTGCCCGAACATAGAATGAAATATTTGTTTTATTATATCGTTGCTAGACATTCGCTTACTTTGCAGACTCGCAATCTTGTAATAGAGTGTGTCTATTCCCCATCCTTCGTTCGCAGTTCAAGAAAAAATCCTCTAAAATTCCATCCAAAATGTCCTAAGACTTTTCCGTTGATTTAATGGTGTTTTTAGAATGCCCATCTCTCAAGATGTCGTTCTTTTAATCGGAATTCAGACTTTAAATCTTTTTCCGACTGCCATTTTAATGCACGTCACAACTGTACTGGACGAAACGGGACGATTCAGAATTCCCGGGCGGGCAATACGCCGGGCAATACGTCTTTTATAATTCAAAAATTAAGGGAGCTGCGAAATATGCTTTGGTATTTTTGATCACATGGTACTGAATCAGCCAACCAAAGGACCTATATTGCTCTTCGAAATGACGTTATTGTACTATTATTGATACTCTACAGAGCACATGTATATCATATATCATTGTTACTGTTATTATTGTGACAACTAAGCATGTACATGTACGACTCTTTTATTACCATCTTATATTATTGTTATTTACGACTCTCTTTCATCAACAATCCATTCTCTAACAAGTCACCAGTGCAAGAGGCGCATAAATGTCTAGTTTAGTACTAAAAACACTACGAATTGTACTTATGCGTTTCTAGTCCCGTCTTTCCCAACTGTCCACACGTGATGACTCTCATACAAGTGTGACGATCCTTCAGATTACTTTGAGCATGGTAATGGAATTGCCTTGAAGGATTGTCACTTTGTTTAACTTCTTGCTCTTCACTCTTTACTTAATAGTTCAAGAGTTATAAAATAATTTAAATTCTGTGAAAGGGTAGTCTGTATTACTACTTTGGCTATACTCTTAAAGTATGGTTAGAGTTTAATCATTTTACTCTATATTTATATTTGGGTTAATAACCTTCTCTTGTGTTTTTCATGTAATATTATTTACAGGATTAATGTCAACATATATATTTTGTTCATAATAAGAGTTTAATATGAAGGTTTTAGGCCCAGTTTCATGTTTAATGTTACGTTACAAACATTTTAGAAAGGGCAGTTGTCTGGGTTTGTTTCAAAATCCAAAGTGAGGCTTATTAAGCTTGATTTAAGTAAATAAGCACATTTTAAGTGAATTGTCTTTTTCTGTGCTTTTATGATTCGAATTCAAGCCGGCCAGACATGGAAAACATTTTGTAGAATTTTAAACATTAAATCGTCACTAAAATTGGATATTTATATTGCCACAGATAAACCAACTTAGGTGTACGAGTTGGTAAAGGTAATTGACTTGATCTAATTGTATTTTTTGCAGAGTTTTAGTCTTTGAAAAGAAGTATCTGTACACTTGATTTTTTTTCCTTAATTTTATTTATTTGCCTTGTGAACATCCCATGTTTAAATTGTCCCAGGGATTGTTAAGGAACATTTGACAAGGTTAACGCAAAGTTACACGCAGAGTTTTTGTCTTAAAGAACCTATGTAACTTATTAACCAGCGTCGAAAGCAAGTTCCCGGGGTTCCTTGAAACCTCTTATACAAAATCCCCACAGGGATTCGTTTAGGAATATTTGACAAGGTGTACGAAAAGTTACGGTCTTTACGAACCTTATGTAACTTGCTCTAAACCAGAGTCAACTGCAAATTCCTGGGGTTCATAGACACCTCTATACGACATCCCCCCCCCCATTCAGTTTGGGACTGTATTAAGTTTGTTCACAGGGTAAATTTTATTGATACACTAGAAATACTCCTTTGTATATTTGTATGTTAAATTCTGGGTAATTTAAAGGTGAAATCCCGGGCTTATGGGACCATTATCAAACAACTGATCATTGAAGTACTTTTAAGGGTCATGGTCATTCAAACCCCATTTTCGGACTTAATACACCCCCTCCCCTTCTAGTTTTCCATGTCTGGTCTAATTCTATGTACCACATTCTAATTCATTGATTATAGATACTACAATATTTTCAAAATACTGTTTCCTGTTTGTTTGCCAATTGTACCATAGTCTTATAGTGGCAAAATGATGTTTCACTTTTCATGTGAGTAGTATAGAGAGCTAATTTCAATCCCACTGGGATTATATAAAATTGCACAGTTGAGTTACATTTTTGGAAAAAGACACATTTTAGGCTTTATTGCAAATTGTTTAACTGAACTTCCATTAGCTGTGCTGTTTTATGCATGTTTGGTTTGAGAGATTATTTACTTGATATACCATCTCGACAGTACTGAATTGTGTAATGTTTGTGTAGATTAGTAAATAGAAATAGAGTCGTTTTTATACATTATATAAAAATCCACAGAATATCATTTCTTGTGTTCAATTGTTTATGTATATGTTAGAAAATTCCCCCTCATTTTATCTAAAGTAGATTCTGGATTCAAAATAGATTCTGACTAAATTCCAGGTGACTTTAGTGATACTAACATTCAAGCAACAAGCTTTATCTTAGCTCATATTTGCTAAGGGCTTCTTTGAATAACAATCACTCGCAATAAGTCATACATTTATTTCCCCAGAAACTATGCAGTAGTGCAATCCAGGATCTAACTTTCTTATTTAACCCTTGTCTTATTGATAATATTAATGAGAATTTCACTTCCAATGTTTTGTTACTTGCTTGTTTTAATGGTGTACAAGTAATTTTATCCCCTGATGAGTTTGACAGACTCCTGATTTGAAATAGCCCAACTTTAATTCTTACAAAATTGCCCACTTTAAGTGTGAACAGTGAGTTTATATACAGCTCGAAGTCCATCGTAGCCCTCCAGTGGCTAAGACTTCCACCTGGTTATACCCACATCCTAACATTATACTTATTTGATACAACTGAACACTGGGCACATTCAGAATCTGGAGTCTGTTGCCATTCGCCTTTATGAGACATACAACTTACATTGAAAACTGACAAATCTTACTTAGTCTATATTCAGATTTTGTTATCCCGTAATTGTTATCCCGAAATTGTCCCACTTCATCCCAATTATTTTTATCCCAGAATTTATCCCTAAATTTATCCCTAATTTATCCCCTAAATTTTCATCGCAAAATTTATCCCAATTTGATCCCATTTTGTTATGATACTGTGAACACGGATGTTGTTCAATTAAATAGGGATACCCATTTCAACTTTTACTTCCCGAAACTAAGTTAATCAAAACATCAAATCAAACTATTGATTCTTAGACTGTATTCTGTTTACGACCCTCAAACCACGCTACCACACGAGGGTCGTGACACAATGATTCCCTGAGCCAGTTGGCCTAATGCCAACCCCCTCTCATGAAGATGGCCGATGACAAACTTGTGCAGTTGTGTCAGACTATCCTAAGCTAACATAAACGGATGTGATTCATGTGAAGCAGGGACCTTATCTGGAAATAACAGCATCCAATTGCAAAAACTTATTATTTGCAAAAACAAAAACAATTATGTTCCATTGTTCACTGGGGAGTATCGTGATGCAAAAACACCGTGTTTTGCATCGAGATGGCCAGACTTCCGGTTATAGGTTTTCGAAAGATATTTTGTTTTCCCCATTTAAACCCATTTCTTGGACGAGTTTCTCAATAATCGTATACGTGCACTTAAGACACGATCTATAATTTTTAAAAATGTTCTTAGTATTCATTTAGCATTATCAAGAAGCGTAAAATTCAAGGTTTTAGTTCCTAGCTTTGGATGCAAAACACCCTATCGAAGCTGCAAGAATACTGATCTATGTTATGTCCAATGATGCAACCAATTTATGGCAGATTGTTGAACCATATTATGAGCGTTCGTAGACTATTAATTAATAAATCGTATGATTTCAAAAGATCATAAATCCCTAGAGGAATAAATTTTAAATGCTATTACTATAAACTATGGCAACTGAGCCAATAGATATTATTCAATACCTTTTAGGCAATCATGGCTCGGAGAACATACGATTTCTGAGAAACTTATTAGCTCGTGTTAGTAACTTGTTAACTCGTGTTAGTCACTTGTTAGCTCGTGTTAGTCACTTGTTAGATCGTGTTAGTCACTTGTTAGCTCGTGTTAGTCACTTGTTAGATCGTGTTAGTCACTTGTTAGCTCGTGTTAGTCACTTGTTAGCTCGTGTTAGTCACTTGTTAGCTCGTGTTAGTCGTTGTTAGATCGTGTGAGTCACTGGTTAGCTCGTATTAGTCACTTGTTAACTCGTGTTAGTCACTTGTTAGCTCGTGTTAGTCACTTGTTTGCTCGTGTTAGTCACTTGTTAGCTCGTGTTAGTCACTTGTTATCTCGTGTTAGTCACTTGTTATCTCGTGTTAGTAACTTGTTAGCTAGTGTTAGTCACTTATTAGCTCGTGTTAGTAACTTGTTAGCTCGTTATAGTATTTCACAAATTAACAATACATATTATTTAGAATATACGACTCAAGAATATAATGGTACCGGGGATGACATGATTAACCGATGGGGTTTTATTTTAAGCACCCGGATACGAAACTAGTGTAAACAAGTGAGCTAGCAGCAGACAAGGTAAGGAAATATCAAAAATCTTGACAAACACCGTAAAACAGTGTTTTATGGATACTTGAAGATCAGGTATTGAGCCGAAAATGAACCGACAAGCTGAACCGATAGTAGGGTAGCGAACCGAAAACCGATCCGATGACTCTGAACCGCGATTTATTTACAGTGGGCCGCGATTGTTATAAAAAATATACACATAGTATGTCACGTTTAATATTATTAAAGCTTTCAACTAAAGTGAACTATATAGCTATCACTAGTTCAACAAGTTAAACCTAGTCTGGGCCTTATTTCTTATCTGATGATATCTTGTGGCCCGCCCTAGGTTTAACGTCCGTGCCTATTCAGTCCTCGATGCAAAGATATTTAATGGTGGCCAATGGCAGCGCATGAAATCTCATGCGCGTTTTATTAATAACTGATAGTGAGAATTTGCAACGAATGAAAGCATAGCACGGAAGTTAAACCCAACAACGGCAACAAGAACACTCAGATTAATAACTGAAAGCCGTGGTACTGGGTTCAACTTGTTGAACTAAGCTATCACAAGTGTCGTTCACATTTTATATGTATTACAGTAGAGATGGCTGCCGAGACTCTTAAGGGTGATGACTATAAAACAAATTTTGACATTGATTGGTACGTGAAATTCTACTATTCAACTCCCATGGAAAACCCAGAAGAAGGAGATACTACATACACATTTTTATTAGATGAACTCCATAAAACGTTTAGTTCAGGTACGTAATACTACATGTACTAAGCAGGGAGGAGTTCGTCGGAATGAAGTAACGATATGACGTTGATGTACCCATTATCCGTAATATAAATCGCCCGGATCTATCGTTTTATCGTGGCGTCGACGCATGATATCCACGGGTCCACACTATGGCATGGCAAGATGGTTCTTCATCATGCAAAGGAGTGGTATTGATATGATGAACTTTTTGAACACTCGTTTCTCTTAAACCAGTCATCAAAAAATTCTAAAGATTTTACACATCGTCAATTTAATGGTCATGTTTTGAATGGTAACAATATAATTTGAAAAAAATAAATATTGTCGTCTCTATATTGTTTTAGAAAACACATCAAACACTTCTTTTGTTCTTGGTATCATATGTTCAGAATGAAATGAAACGTGTTTCCGAACCTCAATGGAACAAAACGACATATTTATACAACATGTTTAGATCTCTAAATATCGTAATTGTACAAAGGAAATTTTGATTGGTTTTAAAAAAGTATCTTGTTAATGAAATAAAAGGTTTATCTTGATTTTTATCTTTTTTTTTGGGGGGGGGGTTGTTTAAATTTTTTGAATACTTTTTTTAAAATCAACCAAAAATTACTTTGTATAACTATAATGCTGAGAGGTCTAAGAAAATGTTGTATATGCTATTTTGTTCCAACAAGGTTTGGGAAGACATTTTATTTCATTCTCAAGAATTGGTAGAAAGGAGCAGCACCGTGTTTTTTTACAGAATGTTTTCAATGATTGGTTTAAGAGAAAACATTGTTGAATTCAGATTCAGTTCACCATATCGATACTTATCCTTTGTCAAGTTACGATTGTGATCAAAATGCAAAGAAATGCTCAAACATCTTCAAAATCAAAATATTCGATGACATATGGATCCCAAATGTCATATGTTGATGCTCTGAATTCGATCGGGGAACAAAATAAGGCAACACATCTCGCAGGAAAAATTTGATACTTTTTATCTAATAAATTACATCTAGGATTAGATAACTTTGAACATGCCTTTGAATCTAAAATAGATGTGCTTATGACAGAAAAAAGAAGTTTGACTGAAAAAAGTCAAAGCTAGGACATGGACACCGATACGTTATTCACTCCGTTGCAATCATGAATGTTATTTTCCTGATTGAAGGGAAAGTGAGCGGAAAGCGATTCCTTGAGTTTGGAAGTGGTCCTACAGTCCATACACTGTTTAGTGCCAGGAATGCTGTCGAAGAAATGACTTGTTGCGAGTTTGCTGAGTGCAGTAGAAAGCAAATTGAAAAGTGGTGGAAAAAAAGAGTGTGGCGCATTTGATTGGAGTGTTGTACTGAAGCACGTTGCTCAGCTTGAACAACATCGGTGGGTAAAAGTATAACCAACCAAAGTGAAAATTGGAATAATGTACACTGAGATTCTTGAACAATAGGCCGATCAATTCATTCCATATGACAGCGTAGGCCTACCATCCGCCATTAAGGGTATATAGGCCCATACACACCCATATCATTTTCTTTTTTAAAAATGCGATACAGAGTATATTAAAGAGTTGGCCGAAAATATCGTTTCAGTGACCATGAGCGCATTGCAGCCGAAGTTCGTGAAAAGCTCCAAGAAGTTTTACCATGTGATGTTCGTCTGCAAAATCCATTGAGCCCCAACATCCGGGAGCCATATGACGTCATCATGACCAGCTTTAACTTGGAGGCAGCTTGTGAGTCAATTGACCAGTACAACGAGGCAGTTGCCAATGTGTCATCTTTGATTCGACAAGGTGGTCATTTGATTATGTTTGGTGCATTATGTCAGACTTTTTATGTTGTAAACAAAGAACATTTCTTTTCTCTTCGACTAGAAATTGAAGATATCGAGAATGCCTTAAAATTAGCAGGATTTGAGGATATAGAAACAAAAGTATGTCCAATTGATCGTGAACTTCAACATGATGAAAGTGACTGTGAAGGTTTGTTTTATACAACATCTAAGAAGCGATAAGAGGAAAAACTCATGGTTCTGGTTATGAAATTACATACAATTTAGTTAGTTTAGTTTACATACAAATTGCAACTGAGCAATTTGCATCATTTTACATTATGAGCCAAAACGGCCCACCAACTTGAATAAACAATAAAACTACAATTACCATTTTTAAGCGAAACTGGATCAATTGGAAAGGCAAAATATATATAACACACAGAGGTACATTTTATTTGGAAATAAAGATGTGTAGGTAAATTACTTCTTTATTATACTATTAATTGCCTGTAAATCATGGCTATGTTATAAATGCCCCCATATATTACATATATTTTGAGAAAATGACAAGAAAATTTGCCCATTTTGTAAGAGAGTGCTTTGTCAAAAGACGTAACCATATGTATAGCACAGACTGATATTTATTTTTACCTATTGTAAATGTTTAGATTTAAAGTGGTTGATAAGACCAGGTGGCTGGGTTGAGTTACTTGTATGTAAACATAGTAACATACCACTATAAAGAACAGTTCTTATCTTCATCTTACATATACTGTCAACTAATACGAAAGTTATTTAAACATATCTCTGATATCACTGTTTGTTTTGTTCGGGGTACGTGGGTACGTTGAAATCAGCACACGGGCTACAATGTCTCAGAACTGTCTATGATTTTTGGGTCAAAATATACCAAATATAATACTACAAATTCCAACTAAGAATTATATGCGCTATTTTAATAGGAGTCTCGTATGGATGGCAGACCACTTATTTTCTCTTGTTCATTGTACCTCACTGGTCTTATTGGTCTGTGTGCAAATATCCCGCTAAATATTCTATATTAGGCTATTCATGTCTGTGTGACAGGAATAAAAATTTCCGAAAATTAGTGATGGCCGATCGTCAGCAATTTCGGATCCATCTTTATTTTAAACACGGTGTAGCTTCATTACTGCCTCTTTGAATGAGTAATGGTGGTTACCGCCTGGATAATTTGCCCAGCAAACACATAGAGCAAACGCTCGACATGTTGGTTCTTGCTCATATATCCCAAATAAGCTTGAGTAATGACACGACGCATGCCACCACGCTCCTTTGAAAGTCACTGCGCAGTTTTCATTATCTCGAGAATCGTTGTCTTGATCGTATGTAGTGAATTGCTGTCCATTTTGAAATGACATTGAATCCCCTGCTGTTCCTGAATATCCACCGATATTAATACGGTATTTATCACTCGCATTAGCCATGGTAAACGAAGAAAACTCAGCAAAACCAGTAGCTGGATTAAGATTGCTCGATGGCCATGTTACCAAATCGAATTTAGCTTTATAACTCCTTTGATTCAATATGCTAGCGAGGTTATCAAGCCCAATGAAGTGTTCGAGGTTGACATCACCGAAGCCTTGCTGAAATTCAACCCAGCTGCGGTTGAAGTTTTCACTTCCATCAAACCTAAAACAGAGACATCTTTATTTGAATTCAGGCGAAACTGAAACCATATTAATTGCATTTTAGGTTTCAAAAGAGAAATAAAACGTGCGATTTTTGAAGACAAATTATTCAATACAATAAAAAGCTGTAATTTAGATCGCTTGTTTGCTTTTATGGATTGTTCAATTCATCAATTTGAAAACCTTATGAACTCTTTTTACATCTCGTGAACTCCATTTGTTCGTTATCACGAATAGCTAGGCAAAATTCATGTCGCGTTTCAAACAATAAGAACACATCATATGCACCCTATCTTACAACAGATGAACGCTTACCTTTAAATCAGTGAAATCGATTACTCTCATCAATTTCATAATTATAAAATGCTTCGACTGTAATTACATTAGTATCATAATGTAGGTGTGCAGTTCAAATTGTTCACCTTGCAAATCAATTGGAAAAATCTGGTTTTGTTCGTTCATATTGTAAAAATACAGTGCCATGTACAGTGCCATTGCGATGCTAACCTGTTGAATACGTAGGTCCATCCTTGGTCGCAGTAAGCCTCGAAGATTCTCCCATCTGATGTCGCGATAGTACTAACACCAGTGTATGTAGGAGTTCCACCACAGTCTCCATCTACAATATAACAGATTAGAAGAGATCATAAAACAAATTGCAAGTAATTATACAGACAAACACAATCCAACTATAATGTATTATATACGAATTAGCACAATCGTAAAAACCAGTTACAAGAAAATCAAAACAAAAATTCGAGAGATGATAAAAAGCACAGGGAAATACTAGTAGTGCCAAATGTCCCCAAACAAAATTAAAGTTAATAAAAAATTTTGGTTGAGGCCTTTAATTCGTGCTGAAATATACATGTTTTTATTTTAAAACCCTCACCCTGCAGCTCGCATGCTGTTCCAGAGAAATTCTGTAGGCATTGACATGTGAAGTTAGAGGGAAATGGCCCAGCGACAGTACACGTACCGCCATTCTGACACGGAGCATGGACGCAGGTATCTATAATGCAACAGAGCAGCTACAGTGACATATACATGTACTCCTAGCTTTGCTTGTCAGCAAAATCATTTTCTATACAATTGATTGTTGCAGGTGTTATGGTCATTCAATTGATCTCTTCTTCTTCCCGATTTTATCGGTACCTGTGGACAAACACATTAACAGGCCACTTAATGTATTTTGGGACACATTTGGATGTCTCTGATGACACCACACACCACATACTGTTTGGCAATAAATCTTGGGATCAATGCAAATGTATGACTGGAGGAATAGCTTAAGTTCTTAACAGTAAGAGTGAAAGACGCCCAATATCGTTCATAAGTCAGAACAACAGGTTACAAAAATTAGTCACAAAATTAAAGGAGCACGAAAAGTATCGCAACAGATTTCAAACAATGTCAACAGGTGCATACATTAGGCCGAGGCATTACCTACAGGAAAAATACTCGTAGAGATATTAAGACGATTTAGACTTTGAGACAGGGAAGGTGCAAAAAACGGGTATCCAAACAATCCACCCATATGTCTTTTCTGAAATGTTGTCCTGATTTCAAACCCGTCCAGTCCTGCTTTTTCAATTATTGTTGCATACATACTGTAGAAGTGGAAACGTTGTTGCGTTTTGAGACACAATTAACCCATTGAGCCCTACTAAGCCCGTGCATATCAAAAATTAAATGCACGGAATCATTGCTTTGAAATTGCACTGAAATGCCCTAAGCTGGTTGGCTGAGACACACTTGGTATTTTTGAATTTCCGTTTGGGAATGAAATTCAGCAAAATGTGTTTCAGAACAGGTCTCTCCTATGAACATCATTAAATTTGAACACTTTTTAAATATGCAATCGACTTCTTGGTGTTACAATGTGAACCCCTGACAAACACTAATTTGGCCGGTCCCAGTGGCGATCGGAGTAGACAGGTTTCATAGTGCGAATATTCTATTAAGGGGTGTGTTTACAGAAAATGTAGATTCATTAATGACATTGAATATCTAGAATTGTTAACGGTTATGGTTGTTCAATATATCGATAATCCATACTTACTACACAGAGGAATAGCTGGCGATGTAGGTTCTCCAGAAATCTGTAAATATAAATTACTGATTATGGATTACACAGTCAGCCACTTTTGAAGTGTTTGGTTCAGGGCATTACCCTTTTCAGATATCTGATGTCCAATATAATTACACTGGTGATACGCTCGATTACGCTGGTTTCGGTAACAAAATGTCGGAACGTCGAAAGTACGGTTTTTCCTTTTCCTTATTTCACTCGTTGTAGGCAGAATTCCAACGTCATTTTTATCACAAACTACGTTTATCAGTATCATATGTTTTAGAAAATGTAGATGTTTGAGAAAAATAGCTCGGAAGACAACAAAATGGTCGATTTAATACCTCACTTAAGTTACATAAACGGTATTGGTTAAAAGTGCAGATCTTAACTATTTTTGAAATACCGTTTAACTTTTAGTGAGGAATTCAATCGACGATTGATCATTCTGTTGTCTTCTGAACTATTTGTTCGCAAACATGTACAATTTCTAAAAAATATGATACTGATATACGTTTGTCTGAAAAATGTCGTGGAGATTCTGCCTAAAACGCGTGAAATAAGGAAAAAAGAATAATTGTACCTTCGACGTTCCGACATTTTGTGTTCGTTTTGGTAACCAGCGTAATCGAGCGGATCACCAGTGAATTAAAGGCAGAATCAGATATATAGGGGTGACAAAATTACAAGCAACATGTACGATTGACCCACCAATCTATTCCTTACAATCTCAATTACAATATCTCCAAAAAGATTCACGATATATTATAAATTGGTAAAGTTATCATGGATTCAAAGTGCAGAAATAGGTGAAAAATGTTTAAATTCTCCCAAATAATAAGAATGGTTACCATTCTTATAGAAAAATAACACATTATTGTAATAATCTTAAGTTTACCTGAAATAAAGTGTGCACTTTGGGGATTTTCAGAAAATAGACATGACAAGGAATGACATGAGCCAGAAATATTCTAAAATTGAAACAATTTTTTGTTAGGCCTTCTCGCTATATCTGATTCTCTCTTTAATAAAACGATAAGAAAGGCATGAATAAGCTACACAACACAACGGCACAGAAGGAAGGCTTTGTTTTAGTCATTATTTCTTATTTATATATTTAATACAAAGGGCAATACACTGAGAACCAGCGATCATATTTATATTGATCTTACAATGACATGTCAGAATGAGATTTAGCGAACATTTAATTTCCGAATATTCTGCCTTTCATTCCAGAAAAAATATAAATATTATTATTCAGTGACGTGTTCATTTATAGATATGGCTGTTTATCATATATTGGATAAATCTTTTGCTTGCAATTTGTCACTTCAAATCAACTGATAATTACCCGTTCGTAATAAGTCATGGTTGCGTCGGGTACTAATGCCGAGTTGTTGGCGTCCAAGGAACAGTACTTCAGCTCACATTGTGACATCATCCCTGTTGGTGATCCTAGCTCAAAGTTGAACGAGAAACAGGCAGAATTTGCTGTACATATCTCACCACACTTTCCTAAACTTTTCACGTTTTTAACGTCTATTGTGTATCCATGTAAAGAAAACCCGGGTATTTTCTTATATAGAGTCGATGTTACTGATGATATTGCACATGTCATTCCAAACAGACACAAAACGTAGTTTGTTGAAGCGACCATGATTGAATCCTTATGAATATATTTTCTTTATATCATTCCAGTTCTGTTTGGCAGTGCATTGGGTTTAACCCTTCAATATGATGGCGATCTTTGATTTCCAATTAGTAGTTATAATTAAGAAGGTTCAATGACGGAAGCTCGATTACCATTATATCGAATACTAATATCCTGGACGTTTTTCTTCAGCCAGTCGAAATTCAAGATCTGAATAGAAATCATGATGTTTCCTCATATCAAATATTGGCTCAACACTCATGGATCAGTAAAGCCTATATGTGTCAAATCACAATTAGAAAATAAGTATATATAATAGGCTTTGGGGTGGGGATAAATGATCACTGTCATGTGCTTGAACCTAATATATTTTTTTTATTAAAAGTGCGTACTAATAAATAGAGATTATCCTATATGAGGTTCAGGATATTGGGATTATCCCGAGGCTAATATAATATATTTGCCCGAGGGCCGTAGGTCCCGAGGGAAAATATATTATATTGGCCAAGGGATAATCCCAATATCCTGAACCGACTATAGGATAAAATGTTTATCCCATACCAATCTTGGTCATCTGGTTCACATTGTTCAATCGTGAAAATATTTCAGAATATTCATGTCCAGTTTTGTTTTCTTGGCCGTGGGCTGATTTTCCTGTTCTCTCAAACATTCCCACATTTATCTTCTCGAATTTTTTGATTGATTAAGTGGATGCTCCTTCCCTTTTTTAAACCATCAAACAGATCCCGATTGTCTGTGTTTTCTCCATTGTCGTTTACAGTCATAACGCGAACGTTACAAATTATGAACAAATATGTGAGCGTCGATTATGACGTAGCGGGCAGATATACTATATCTGCCCGCTCGGAGCGGGACGTAAAGCTATATCTGCCCGCTGATGAAAATATATAGAGATTATCCTATATGAGGTTCAGGATATTGGGATTATCCCGAGGCCAATATAATATATCTGCCCGAGGGCCGTAGGTCCCGAGGGTAGATATATTATATTGGCCAAAGGATAATCCAAATATCCTGAACCGACTATAGGATGATCTGTTTATCCCATACCAATCACATTGTTCAATTTGCCAAAGTTCAGAAACTTTGCAACCAACCGTGGAATATTCTTAAAATATTCATGTCCAGTTTTGTATTCCTGTTTCTTTCCTATTCAAATCTTTGATTATTAACGCCGGTACACTGCTCCTTCCCTTCTTTAAAGCATCAAACAGGTCGAGATTGTCTGCGTTTTTCTCCATTGTCGTTTACAGTATGCGACCGTTACAAAAAAGAACCAATACGGGAATAGCGATTATGACGTAGCGGGCAGATATAGTATATCTGCCCGCTCGGAGCGGGACGTAAAGCTATATCTGCCCGCTGATGAAAATATAAGTTTTTACAAACCGGCTTTATGTACCCGTAACACGTCCAAGTATGGGATAAAAGTTTTTACAAACCGGCTTTATGTACCTGTAACAAGTCCAAGTATGGGATAAATATGTATATTCTCCCAAATAAATAATATAAAAATTCACATTTATAGAAAAATACACACATAATTATGAAAAAATGTTGTTGGAGTAAAAAGTTGATTTCTTTTTAGAATATTTTTTGTTATGATGAAAAATGTTCCAATAGTTACTTATTAGACTTGGTTCTGCTTTTAAATGTGTCACCCGATCAGCTAATTGCAAACTCTCAAAGTACCAACACTAAATTGTTATATACAATATACTACTATTATTTCGTTTTCCGAAAATTGAAAATTTTGAAAATTTGATACATGAATTTATTCTTTAATGACGCGTGATAATTGCCCAAATGATATAATTGGTGGCTATTTCACGAAAGTCCACGATATTGCCAAAGATCTATTGTTCGTATTTAAAATTGACGTAAAGGCATTTTACATGTTTCATATGATTGACATACGAATAGACCTAAGAATGTATTAATGATATCTGATGCCTGTTTTTTGTAAGAATCTATAGAATTGATCGATAAGATCCGATCGAGAGAACTAAATGGTGAATTTTGGAGTATGTGGACAAGTAATTATGGAAGTCAACGTAATAAGCATTATCTAAGACCAGATCTAAGAGTCTGGTGATATGCAATGTAAAAAGATAAAATAGACTAAACCTTCGCCAAACAATGAAAATATCTGATTTGTCTATTTCCCCTCCCTCTTGTTATCCCGTACTCCAAGCTTGACGCGATCGCTGTAAATGATACAGCCCCCAAATGATAAGAGATGCATGAAGTCCTTTAATTTAATTGTTTCTCATTCGTGTCGCATCTTTGATGTTTCTGAACCAGACAGAACGATTGTATTTAGAGAAATCCGATTAAGCTAGCCATATACTTGCCGGGCATTGTCCGTTTTGTCTGAGTTTGTCCGAGATTGTCCGCCGAATATCATCGGACAATGTCCGATCATGTCCTGTTTTGTCCGAAATGGTCATATGATCATCAAGTGACTCAATGCTTCGGAATTTGTGCGGAGTTGTCCGGAAAAAAGAATCGACATGTGCATTCTTTTCACTGGACATAAATGGACAAAGTTTGTACAAGCTCGGCAATGTCCAGCGGACAAACAAAATAGGACAATGTCCATGTTGTCCGGTGAAAATATTTTACTGTATGACGCCCCTGATGTCCGAATTATCCGGCAAGTGTATGGCTAGCTTTAAAGGACATGTTTTGTAATGTGACAAAATTGAACACCACATAACCCACGTCATTTTCGCACAGGAAAAATTCATGCTATCTATAGTTTCTCACGGTGACCACCAAAATGCGATGTCTTCAAAATTAGGAACATTCTTCATTTGGAGAAGTTTTAAATCTCTTGGGTAATTTATTCATGCAATAAATATGAGAAAAACGAGATTCTCTTTTCAGAAAATAAGTCGATCATCAATGATTCTTCAGAGGTGGATTGGCGTTTGATTTTTCCTGGCAATGAAAGGACTAACATTTCAAAGATGGAATATATTTGACATAATAACAAGTGCGTGATACAGGGGTTGCCATTTTAGTAAAGGGTGTAAATACGTTTCTGTGCTTGATACAGGGTATATTTAATGGAAAAGGTTAAATTATGATGTTGAATTATTGGTGTCTATCATATATTTAAGAACTGCCATCTATATATGAATATAAAGTTTAAATAACTAACGTGAACAAAAGATTAATGAGATTCTGATTGTTAGGTTCTGAGAATGCTGCTGCCATCTTTGAATAAACTCTAAATTATCAATGATATAATTATAATCTATTGTGATAACGAACACCTCCCAATCTGAATGTTTTTAACTGCACGGTGGCATTTGGATTAGACAGGTTTTACTGTATGAGTAATAGTAATACTGAAATTCAAAAAAATCTGAAGACCTAGTCAATCTATTTTGGGAAATATTCTCAGCTATTTGAAATGAAGATCAACTTTGTAAGAAGTCTCTATAATTATTTTTTTAATTTATACAATAACATTATACTCAACTTTAGTTCAAATTCCAATGCTCTGGCCTTGGCTAATCAAAACAGTTCATTGCAATTGTTTCATCAATTATTATATTATTATATTAATATATCATAATTATTTCACATGCAAATACTGTACTGCCACTAATATTTGATGCTGTTATCTTTCACAATTTTCGCAATTTTGAAATTTTGCGGATATCAATTTTCGCTAATTATAAATTTTTTATAATTTTGTATCTATTTCTTTCATCATCATATCATTTCTCAAAAAAATTTCCAGCTTATTTGATTAAATGTTTTTAAAACCAAGAAATATGAATGAAACAGTACCTTCTTACCTTTAATTATTGCTATACCATGTACTTAAAGCCTTTACATGACACCTATCAGCTATCACCTGCTTCAAAAGCATAGGTGAAACTAAACTATTGAAATCAAGTGCTCACTTTAAATTTTTTTTATATTTTCTGTTTGGGAAAATCTGTTAGTTATCAGCTGCATTTTTGTCAGTCAAGATTTCTCTTCATCAAACCAAATCAAATCCAAGGAATGTTTAGTCAAATATCCAGTTGTTCAGGAATCGAACTCAATTCAAAGAATGATTAGTTCCATAGTGTAAACATATACAACTTTGAACAATATTGGTATCAGCCATTATGTTACATTAAAAAAACAGAATGTAAAAGACTTTCATGTAAGCAGGAAATTTCTTGAAAGAATACTAAAGGTTTCGCAACAGAATTTAGACGGTCATATGTTGAATTGCAGAAATTTTCTGAAAATGTAAGGTGTGTATGTTAGGCCAATGCATTATCTAAAGGAAAAGTACTCATACAGATGATAAAAAAAATTAGAGATTGAGACAGGGAAGGTGCAAAGACCCCATCAACATTTTTTTCAAAAATGTTTTCCTGATTTTCAGTTCCTTCCATTTTTTTTATAATGTTTTCACATTAATATGTTGCATTTGTAGACAAAGTTAACATACTAAAGAGAAAATATTTTCCTTTTAAGAGTTTATTTGTGTCTCCAAATGCAACATACTGATGCATAAAACATTTATAAAAATTGAGTAGAAGGGGAAATTTTAAATTCAACGAACATATAGGCCCACTGAGCATTTATTTTGCACAGGGCCTTTATTAGAAAGAACTCAAAATAAATGCCATTGGCTTTTATTAAGACTAAGAGGGAAATTGAAAACATTTTTCCAAGGGGACAGGCATTTATTAAGAGGTAAAATAGCTTTCCCAAGCCAGTGGGTGTTTATTTCGAGGCGTATTATCAATCGAAGAGTTGACACATGGCCTTCATATACTCATGCAATAGTATCTATCATCTCTGATTGCACACTTCTGTTTAACCTTTCAAGCATTCGATTTGGATTTTGGAATGTCATAAAGCTATGCGGTCAAAAGTAATCTTAATACTTTTTAGTGAAAATGCATTTATATTTTTAAAATGCAGAATCTTGCGAATGCAAAATCCTCGAAATCCGATCACCTCCACATCTGAATGTTTTTTTTAACTGGCCATGGTGTTTTAACTGGTCATGGTGGCATTTGGATTAGACAGATATTACTGTATAAGTATTAGACAGATATTACTGTATAAGTATAATAGTATTACTGGAATTCCAAAAAATCATAACGCCTACAATGCTAGTAATATTAAGTGAAAATGCATTAATATTTTTTCAAAATCAAGAATCTTTCGGATGCAAAAACCTCGAAATCAGACGTTTAAATCTGAATGTTTTTAATTTGTAGCGGTGGCATTTGGATAAGACAGGTTTTACTGTATAAGTATAATAGACATTAATAGTATTACTGGAATTCCAAAAAATCATAAGGCCTATAGCAACAATCATGTGAACTTCAGGTCAAAATTCCAATGCTCCCTTGGCCAATCAAATCAGTTCATTGCATTTGTTTCATCAATGCTCTCAATATCATAATTATTCCACATGCAAATACTGTACTACCGGTTAATTTGCGAGTTTAAATTTCATGAATTTAGAGAAATACCAATTTTGTGGCCATTAAATTTTGCGGATATCAAAGGTTTAACTTCCATTATTCTCTGAATCCTCAAAATTAATTTATCTTATCTACAGTAATTACACCTACCCAATATCATATACTTTGGATAAGATTTACAATCTCTAGATCTTAGTCAATGGCATGTTGCACCTCGGCCTTTAATTGGCGATATTCGCGACTATTATTTTTCGTGATTTTTACACAATCGCGAAAACCACGAAACTAAATTGCACGCGAAAAATATCGGGAGTACAGTACATTGAAACCATACACTCTTATATTTCATAAGAATTTGCAATCAAGCCTAACAAATCTATTGGCAAAATAGAAGGCCAGCAAATGTACACATGCTAAAGTGATGAAACTTTAATGAATTTTAATTTTGCCTATACTGAGATGTGTTAAACTCTATTTGGGTTAGATTTATTCGGCTACACCCTCTACTTACAGCCTTAACATGCCCCCTATCGGCTATCACCCGCTTCAAAATCATAACAGGTTCCTTTATATCTTCCTTTATCTTCTGTTTAAGAAAAAGGTACGAAAAATTTCGAACGAAATGCGTAACATATACGTAATTCGCGTGGAAAGTCCGAACGAAATGCGTACATTTTTTTCCGGCGTTCGTATTTTTGCTGTGTAGACGATCTTTTTTAGAAATTTTTCTACAAAAATATTTTTGCTTGACAATTACCAGGTAAAATGCGTATTTGCGTGACATTTTCTGTCACGCAAAAATAACTGGCGTGACTTCAAATTCTTCAGCAAATGCGTGACAAATACGCAAATTGCGGGACAGTTGACAGGCCTGCTAATGATAAATAAGAACTTCAAAAGTTGAAGTGGATATTCACATGTTATGCTGACTCTTCAAATATTGAGGTGATTTTGTCGCCCGATTGCGCCGGAACGGAGGATTGGCTCCCAGAATGCAACATGACACGTGCCAGCTTTCAAAATGCTGTTCCGCCATTTTGAAACCTGTCATGAGTAAATACGGTTAACTGATGTTGCATGCTGGGAGTCAACCGTCCTTGGATAACAAACATGGCGATTCATGAAAACATTCATTCGATTTGGTAGGGATTTATCCATTATTTGCAGGTATGAAGCTTTGGATTCATTTATTCATTTTATTGTGCTACTTTGGTGAACGGGAATTATTTTTCTACCGCTTGGGAGAGTTTGAGACACGAAACTTGGAAATTAGCTCATTGTGACAACTTGTGAACGTTGAGTTTTATTTTTGTCCCCCATTGTAACACAATTTTGAAGCGGTTGATAGGGGGCTCTAAAGGCTGTTCTAACATATCAGTCATAGCCTCTGAAAGAGCTAGATCTAAGGCTCTAGCTTTAGGCTAGTCTAAGTCCTATAGATCAGTCCGATCTAGTAGTCTAGTCTAGGCCTAGAGTCATAGCCCAGGCATAGGCCCGTAAAAATGTAAAGAAATAAAGCTTACAGCATGTTCTATTTAAGTGAATTTGACTCAATGTTATTTGACTATATGTTGTTCTTACTTTATCTTCGCCGAAGATCGATGTTTATTTATATATAACAATCGAATAATCGACATAATTCAAACTCATCACTACGACACAAAAATATATCACTTTCGAAACCATGTAAACTGCTAAGATGACGTCATTGATATCCGGGATTGCTTTGCAAACTCCACACAACAGACTGTCCCAGCTTTTCTCCTGCTTTCTCCCGATGCAATTCATACATTACTCGGAGATTACTGTCAAACGTTCCAAGTTTTACAATTTTAGCATGTTTATTACGATCTAATTCCTGCCAGTATCAATGAATAAATCTATTGACCAACAGATTGGAAATATGTATTCCAGCGATACCCTCATTTTGACGAAAGAATGGTACAAATATGTCCACTATTTATCGAGATATCGTGTAGAAAAATTGAAGAAAGACATCGCTTAAGAAATTTCTATTTCTAGACTGAACTGTTCACGCTCGCAAGTGGCATCTCCATCTCCATATATGGGCAAAAAGGTGGAGTTAACAATAAGCAATGCAGGGATTGACACGATTGACACGAAGAAGTCTCGATGAATCTCGCTTAAACTCCGCCCCTTCTTCGTGAAAAATCACGTGAATTCCGGCTTTTGCTGGGACATATCCGGGCATCTCGGCTTCGAACCCAATCAGAAGTTTCAATTTTGACTGGCGCCGCATACATTATCTCAAGTCTCACCCAATATTTTTATGTATACGTTAATAATCAACCAGTGAAGGAGGATATCAATAAAACAAAACATAAAGGTTTGGTTATGTTTAATGTATTTTCACAATGTTTATTATTACACACGACAATTTTAACTATAGCTAGAAAACTGTCTTGCATAACATTTACAGTCGTTATTTATGTGTATAGAAGACAGACACATATATCATTGCTTCAAGTGATATGATTTCAAACGACACATAAATTATCGCTTCAAGTAATATGATTTCAAATAACATCAAGATTATTGCGTCAAGTGATATGATTTCATATGCCACATAGACCATTGCTTCAAGTGATATGATTTCACATGCCACATATATCATTGCTTCAAGTGATATGATTTCACATGCCACATAGACCATTGCTTCAAGTGATATCATTTCACAAAACACATAGATTATTGCTTCAAGTGATATGATTTCATATGCCACATAGACCATTGCTTCAAGTGATGTGATTTCATATGCCACATAGACCATTGCTTCAAGCGATATGATTTCATATGCCACACAGACCATTGCTTCAAGTGATATGATTTCATATGCCACATAGACCATTGCTTCAAGCGATATGATTTCACAAAACACACAGACCATTGCTTCAAGTGATATGATTTCACATGCCACATAGACCATTGCTTCAAGTGATGTGATTTCACAAAACACACAGACCATTGCTTCAAGTGATATGATTTCACATGCCACATAGACCATTGCTTCAAGTGATATGATTTCACATGATACACAAATAATGGCTTCAAGCGATATGATTTCACATGACACAAAGATCATTGCTTCAAGTGATATGATTTCACATGACACATAAAGCATTGGTTCAAGTGATATGATTATAATTGTTTCAAGTGATATGATTTCACAAAACACATAGATTATTGCTTCAAGTGATATGATTTCATATGCCACATAGACCATTGCTTCAAGTGATATGATTTCACATGATACATAAATCATTGGTTCAAGTGATATGATTATGATTGTTTCAAGTGATATGATTTCACATGACACAAAGATCATTGCTTCAAGTGATATGATTTCACATGACACAGAAATCATTGCTTCAAGTGATATGATTATAATTGTTTCAAGTGATATGATTTCACAATGTCACATAGATCATTGCTTCAAGTGATACGTTTTCATATGTCTAGTGAGAGGTGAAGGATCTCCAAATGATTTGAGGCAAATATTACACTTGAATGGCTTCTCTCCAGTGTGAGTCCTTTCATGTGAGACCAATTGAGAGTTTTTAGTAAACTGTTTACCACAAAAGGAACAGTTGTGTAAGTTTTCTCCAGTGTGTAGTCGTGTGTGATTCAATAAGCTGCCCCTGTTAGTGAATGACTTCTGGCACACCTTACAGAAGAATTTTTGTGTTGTTTCGTCGAAAGCTACAAGTTGAAGTCGATTTTTCATCTTGATGTGGATGGGTATTTTTCTCATTTCATCAAACATAGTGTAATATACGTCTGAAAGTAAAACAAATTATATCGTTAAAACAACAATTGAAAATGTTTGGCATTCAGAAAATAGTTCATGCTATGATACATGCGTATCTGGATGATATTTCATTTTATACTACATGGGACTATGAAAGTGACAAAACGCCAACTATACAACTAAAAGGAGTATACTCCAAAGCTGGCCTATTAAATATGCATAGCATAGCCATGCCATTACTCAATTTAAATGTGCACTACATTTGGATTAGAATGAACTTAGTTATGGCGTAGCAACCTATACTCATCATAAACTCAAGAGTCAATAATTTATCAATTATGATTATTATTAATTATGATATCATTCCTACAGTTTCAATTTACAAACAAAAAGGTTCAACGTGTTACAAATGGTCAACTTATTGCAAATTATCAAGAAATCAAACATTAATGCTCTTAGTTGACAAATATAAATGCTAATAAAATTGCCCAGGTAATCAAGGCTTGCTTGATAGTAAAGCAAGTTTATTTTTGTCAAAGGTAAGAGGCACACTACATCAACGGTTTCTCTCCAGTATGGGTCTTTTGATGATTTAAGAAGTTAGATTTTCTGTCACTAATTAAGACCAGTTCTTCATATGATGTTTTCATATGTCTAGTACAAGATGATTGGTCCCTGAATTGTCAATTGCAAGGCGCACTATATCAAAGGTTTCTCTCGAATATGAGTCTTTTGATGATTCAACAAGTTGGAATTTCTATCACTCACGAAGATTCGTTCTTCATCTGATGTTTCATGTGTCTAGTACAAGATGATTGGTCGGACTATTTAAGGTGTACGTTATGGGTCCTTTGATGATTCACCTCATATTAAGATAACTTTTTCACATGAATTTTTTAAATGCCTAGCACAAGATGATTGGTCCCTGAATCGCTTGAGGCGCACAACATCAACGGTTTCTTTCCAGTATGACTGGAAGATGATTGGTCCGTAAACCACTTGTACAGTATATCAGCAGTTTTTCTCCAGTATGGGTCTTTTGATGATTCAACAAGTTGGAATATCTGTCACTCATTTAGATTAGTTCTCCATATGAAATTTTCATACATGTATGTCTAGAACAAGATGATTGGTCCGTAAACCACTTCAGGCGCACTGTATTAACAGTTTTTCTCCAGTATGGGTCTTTTGATGATTCAACAAGTTGGAATGTCTGTCACTCATTAAGATTCATTCTTCATATGATGTTTTCATAAGTCTAGTACAAGATGATTGGTCCGTAAACCACTTGATGCGCACTATATCAACAGTTTTTCTCCAGTTTGGGTTTTTTGATGATTCAAATTACAATTTCTGTCACTTATTAAGACAGTTAGATCGTTGGCTTCATATGAGATCTTTTCATATGTCTCATGTAAGACGAAGGATCTCCAAATGATTTGAGGCAAATATTACACTGGAATGGCTTCTCTCCAGTGTGCGTTCTTTCATGTGTGACAAACTTAGACTTTTTTGTAAACTGTTTACCACAGAATGAGCAGCTTAATAGATTTTCCCCAGTGTGTAGTTTTATATGATCTAATAAGGTGCTCCTGTTTGTAAACGACTTCTGACACACCTTGCAGAAGAACTTTTGTGCAGTTTTGTCGAAGGCTACAAGCTGAAGTCGATTTTTCATCTTCATGTCGATTGGTCTTTGTCTCACTTCATCAAACAGAGTAGAATACATGTCTGAAAGAAAAACAAATTATTCCATTAAAACTGTGATTGCAAATACATGTGATTCAGAAAATATTTCATATAGAGGGTTAGTCGAACATATCTCATGCATGACAAGTATCTGGATAATATTTCATTTAAAACTTTATGGACTTATAATTAAGTCAAACTGGTAGGACTATGAAAGTTTACTTTATTTGCACAAATGCCATATTTAGAGAGATGTCTTTTCGAAGACGGGCTTGTGCAAATAAAGTAAATGAAAGGAAAATATTCATCCGCAGATGGTACATTGCCTACGCAAATGTGCATAGCCTGGTCAGGCTATTGGTCTCATAGTATTTGTATAATTTCAGGGCTCAAATAGGGTACACTTATAATATTATGAAAATGAAATTGTAAGAATAGAAATTAGCAATATTGCTAATTTCTATTCTTACAATTTCATTTTCATAACTGCACTATATTAGCATATTGAAAATACTTCACAAATTGTCAAACTCCTAACTTTATTTTACTTAATGACTTCTTCATTGGTGATTGCGTCATAGCAGTGACTTTGTTTGTTAATATAAATTTTTATTCTGGAGTAAATATAATCATAATTTTTTATTTCTTATTGTTTTGTTGTTAGACATAAACTCAATGAATTATAATATACTCCTCAAAAAAAGTTAAGGTCAAAAATTACTTTAAAGCTCTATATCGCTAATTTTAACAATATAAGCTAGACATTTAGCATGTAGAAAGTAAAACGATTTGATTCCTTAACTTTTGAGGAGTATATTTATTGATACATATTACACCAACATGATCTGTGTATGGTAAAGCGTGGTAAGAGAGTGCGGATATCAAAATCCATGAGTGGATACAATTCATATTTTTATCTTTATTTCATATGTTTTTATATGCCTCGTGGAAGAAGGGTGTCTGAATGAATGATTCGTGGCACATTTCACACTATGCATAGGTTTCCACCAATGTGTAGTATATGATGTTTCTGAAACATGGTGGGTTAGAATTTCTATGTAGATATTGAAGGCGATAAGTTATATGTCTATTGTCTATCTTTAATCGCCATGGTGATGGGTCGTTCTCTCATTTCACCATCACGAGAGAAAGTTGTAAACAAAAACTAATTCTATAGAACATTGTGGTTGAGATGAGATTTTATTCTGTATCTGACTCATTTTCTAAAACATGATCATATTTTTCTCATTTTTATTGCATAAATACAATTTACAAGAAGAAATCGTCAAGTTCTTCAGAGGTAGAATGACATTGAAAGCCTTATTTGGAAGATATCAAAGGTGACTAAAATCAGGCTGAATAGAAGGAGTTTTTCTATGGGAAAATAACATGGGTTACAATGTTTTCCACTTTAATTCATTTCAATGATAATGCCCTTCACCTTTCAGAAGATACTGACATTGTATAGATGACATTTTTCATATTGTTAAAATGAAAAAAGAAGACCAATCTTTTAGAAACAATGTTTTTTGGACAAATGGATTAACACATTTTTGATATATCTCGTTTTTGCATGAAATGACTTAAAATCAATCTAAAATCCCTGATGGAATTTATTTGAATTAATAATCAGATTAATTAACAATCAGATGTGATAAAAATCTACAACTGTATTGAACAATAAATAAATGTTTGGTTAGTTTAATGTGAAACACAATGTTTATTATAATATACAACAGCTGATTTGCTTGACAATTCACAATTGTTTGTTTATATACAGACACTTACAATATGTAGATCATTGCTTTAAGTGAGTTCTTTTCATATGTCTGGTGTGACATTATGTTTTACACTTTACAATTCTCGAAATCGTTGTTCCCTCTTCAAAAGAGAAGACGCGAAAACCTTTCCTTATAAGGGCAAAATATTTCCCATGATGCAGTTCGCGGAGGAACAAATTTATACTTCCTTATTTTCCCTCATAGGTTTAACAGGGGATTTTCACACCTATTTTTCAAACGATATATTCGTTCATATTCCCGTACGAGAGTACAGAAAAAATTATTAGAAACGATTGATCTCTCATTAATCTTAATATAACAGCTATTTTTTTTCATTGTATTAATTCATAGCGTGGTGAAAACGATGATTGAAAAGTGAGAAAATATTCTGGAAGAGAAGGTCACGTGATCAGTAGACTAGTCGCCATATTGGAAAAAAACAATTCCATTCGACTTTCAATACTTTCATGCCAATCTTACCGCACTACAAACTGCGACATCGATGCAACAACTGAATAAAAGTATTCATCTTCAAATTACATTATAGAGTTACGTTGAAAACCCACAAACAACTGAGCAGTAGACCAAAGAAGACGCGTCGCTATTATCTAGGTCAATCTGTTCAGTGGTCCGAAAGCAAATCTATAGTACTCGTTTCCGAATTTTGTTGTTCATTGTACAATCTTTTATTGATTAAACTCGGTATATACTGACTATTAAAGCAATGACAAAGAAGAATACTTACGATGGTGTCATTGTTTTATTTAGCGTGCGGGTGTGAAAACAAAATTGAGTAATTAGTTTGATTTAGAACTTTCGTGTCACGCAAATAGCTACGTGAAATGCATAGTGGGAAAATATTGACCAATCAAATTTTGTCCTTTTTGAGTGCTTTTTCAGTGCATATTTGCGAACGTTCTGATTCAAAAAGCGAACCGCGAAAAGGAGAATTGTTTGTTTATATACAGGCACTTAGATCATTGCTTCAAGTGAGTTCTTTTCATATGTCTGGTGTGACATGAAGGGTCTCCAAATGATTTAAGGCATATAAAACACTGAAATGGCTTATCTCCGGTGTGGATTCTTTGATGTCTGACCAACTGAGAGTTTCTTGTAAACTGTTTACCGCAGAAAGTACAGCTATGGAGATTTTCTCCAGTGTGTAGTCTTGTATGATTTACTATACTTTTCCTGTTTGTGAATGACTTCTGGCACACATTGCAGAAGAATCTTTGTGTGCCTTCATCAAAAGCTACAAGTTCAAGTCGATTTTTCATCTTCATGTGGATGGGTATTTGTCTCCCTTCATCAAACAGATTGGAATACATGTCTGAAAGAAAATCAAATTATTCCATTAAAACAGTGAATGCAGAAGTATGAAATTCAGAAATTAATATAATGTCAAGTATATGGAGGCATTTTTATTTCACACTATATGGGTAATATATCAGTTGATCCAGTTCTGGTATGCCTACATCCTTGGCCCAAGAGTTATTCATTACATTACATTACATGATCTGCTATACAAGCAGCGAAGGACCGATCTTGATCGAAGGATGGTATGACTATCCAAATGAATATTTCTGATTCATATACATTGCAGGACAAGTATCTGGAGGTTATTTCATTTTACACTTGATGGACCAATCAGTACCTATTAGAACCTATTAGAACCAAATGGGCGCGACTACGAAAGTGAAACAGGGTCTGAACTGTAGTAAGGAAAATACTTCAATGCAAGCAGGGCTGCTTATCAAATGTACATAGCCTGCTCAAGCCATTGATCTGATGGTGATATCATTCTTACAGTTTAAGGGCACAAATGGAGTTATTAACATATTGCTTATTTCTAAAAAAATCCTACAATTTTAATTGCTGTTCTATTATAACATGTTATCATATCTATTTAGCAGTGTAACTCATACAATTTATGGGAATTGAATGAGTAAAAAGCGTGGTATAAGAGTGCAGATATCAAAATCCATGAGCTTGGTTATATAGATTATAAAAATCATAACATTAGTAAACCACAAGATTTCCTCTTTATTCCATAGCCATAAGTTATAATGAAATTATGTGTCTTGTGCAGCATAGACCTGTCAATCTTTTTCATCTTCATATAGTAGTAGGAAGCAATAGTCTCCATGCACCCGGAAGATATAAATTTTTAATTTGATTTTTTTACACTGACAGAATTGAAGTCTTGTAAGTTTTTTCATAGTTCTGGTGTGGCATGAAGGGTCTCTTAATGCTTTGCACTACATTCAAAATTGTTTGTTTATATACAGACACTTAGATCATTGGTTCAAGTGAGATCTTTTTATATGTCTGGTGTGACATGAAAGATGTATATATATGTACATTGCTTCAAGTGGGTTCTTTTCATATGTCTGGTGTGACATGAAGTCATCTAATGTTTTACACTTTACAATTGTTAATTTATATAGTTCATGTGTCATCTTGTCATATGATTGTTTTTAGATGAAAGCTCTCTGAATGCCTTGAGGCAAATTTTACACTTGAATGGCTTCTCTCCAGTGTGGATCATTTGATGTGTGACCAACTTAGAATTACTTGTAAACTGTTTACTACAGAATTGTTTGTTTATGTACAGAAATGAGATCATTGTTTCAAGTGGGTTCTTGAAGAAACAAGTGGGTTCTTTTCATATGTCTTATGTGAGATGAACGGTCTCCAAATGTTTTAAGGCATATTTTACACTGAAATGGTTTCTCTCCTGTGTGAGTCCTTTGATGTGTGACCAACTTAGAATTACTAACAAACTGTTTACTACAGAATGAACAGCTGTGCAGGTTTTCTCCAGTGTGTAGTCGTGCATGATCTAATAAGCTGTCCCTGTTTTTGAATGACTTGTGGCACACTTTGCATAAGAACTTTTGTGTGACTTTGTCGAAGGCTATAAGTTGAAGTCGATTCTCTATCTTTGTGTGGATGCGTCTTTGTCTCAGTTCATCAATCTGAGAGGAACACACATCTGAAATAATACAAATTATTCCATCAAAAAGACAATTAAAAATGTGTGGTTCTGATCACACACATGTCAAGTATCTGGGGGATTTTTTTAATTTTTTTACTATTATATTTATCTGTTAGTCAAACTGAATAAAAGTGAAACAGTTGGTCAATGTAGTGTACTGAGGAAAATGCTCCAATTCAAGTGGTACATTGCCAATCAAATGTGTTGAACCTCATCATGCCATTGCTCTGTTCAAATTGTATACATCATTCAGCCCTTGCATTTGATATACCAGAAACCTATAGTCAACAAATCAACCCCAAAAAGTATCCCACATATGGAAATTATAATGTATAGGTGTATTTTAGGAGTTTTTTTATATGCCAATAAAGTGGCCTGGGTTCACATATGTGAAGCTACATGCACTACAGACACTTAGATCATTGCTTCAAGTGAAATCTTTCATATGTCTGGTGTGGCATGAAGGGTCTCCTAATGTTTTGCACTACATTCAAAATTGTTTGATAAAATACAGACACTTAGATCATTGCTTCAAGTGAGATCTTTCATATGTCTGGTGTGGCATGAAGGGTCTCCTAATGTTTTGCACTACATTCGAAATTGTTTGAAAATATACAGACACTTAGATCATTGCATTAAGTGAATTCTTCTCATAATTCCGATGTGACATGAATTAGGGTCTAATAATGTTTTGCACTTCATTCACAATTGTTTCTTAGCTTTATTTACAGGCACCTTTTTATTCCAAATAACATATATACATTACAAAATATGTACAATCTGAGAGCTTTTTCACTCTTGTACAAAAAATAATTTTCCTTCACAGTTCTTATATTTGAAATCATGAATAGTTTTCTTAATAATAAGGGTGACACAATGTAACAGTTATTCCATAGATTGATATTATTTTTATGCCTATTGTGCTGCATCCATAATTTATAAAAATTGTTGGAATGCTCACATCCTTTAAGTTTTACCATTGGCTTTCAAGAGATCTCTTAAAAGCCCATGGTTTTACAGACACTTAGATCATTGCTTCAAGTGAAATATTATCAAATGCCTGGTGTCAGATGAAGGGTCTCCTAATATTTTGCACTTCATTCACAATTGTTTGATAATATACAGACACTTAGGTCATTGCTTCAAGTGAGTTCTTTTCATATGTCTTATGTGACATGAAGGGTCTCCAAATGTTTTGCACTACATTCAAAATTGTTTGTTTATATACAGACACTTAGGTCATTGCTTCAAGTTAGTTCTTTTCATATGTCTTATGTGACATGAAGGGTCTCCTAATGTTTTGCACTACATTCAAAATTGTTTGTTTATATACAGACACTTAGGTCATTGCTTCAAGTGAGTTCTTTTCATGTCTTATGTGACATGAAGGGTCTCTTAATGTTTTGCACTACATTCAAAATTGTTTGTTTATATACAGACACTTAGGTCATTGCTTCAAGTGAGTTCTTTTCATATGTCTTATGTGACATGAAGGGTCTCTTAATGTTTTGCACTACATTCAAAATTGTTTGTTTATATACAGACACTTAGGTCATTGCTTCAAGTTAGTTCTTTTATATGTCTTATGTGACATGAAGGGTCTCCAAATGTTTTGCACTTCATTCACAATTGTTTGATAATATACAGACACTTAGGTCATTGCTTCAAGTGAGTTCTTTTCATATGTCTTATGTGACATGAATGGTCTCCAAACGTTTTGCACTACATTCAATATTGTTTGTTTATATACAGACACTTAGGTCATTGCTTCAAGTTAGTTCTTTTATATGTCTTACGTGACATGAAGGGTCTCCAAATGTTTTGCACTACATTCAATATTGTTTGTTTATATACAGACACTTAGGTCATTGCTTCAAGTGAGTTCTTTTCATATGTCTTATGTGACATGAAGGGTCTCTTAATGTTTTGCACTACATTCAAAATTGTTTGTTTATATACAGACACTTAGGTCATTGCTTCAAGTTAGTTCTTTTATATGTCTTATGTGACATGAAGGGTCTCCAAATGTTTTGCACTTCATTCACAATTGTTTGATAATATACAGACACTTAGGTCATTGCTTCAAGTGAGTTCTTTTCATATGTCTTATGTGACATGAAGGGTCTCCAAACGTTTTGCACTACATTCAATATTGTTTGTTTATATACAGACACTTAGGTCATTGCTTCAAGTTAGTTCTTTTATATGTCTTACGTGACATGAAGGGTCTCCAAATGTTTTGCACTACATTCAATATTGTTTGTTTATATACAGACACTTAGGTCATTGCTTCAAGTGAGTTCTTTTCATATGTCTTATGTGACATGAAGGGTCTCCAAATGTTTTGCACTACATTCACAATTGTTTGATAATATACAGACACTTAGGTCATTGCTTCAAGTGAGTTCTTTTCATATGTCTTATGTGACAAATGTTTTGCACTACATTCAAAATTGTTTGTTTATATACAGACACTTAGGTCATTGCTTCAAGTGAGTTCTTTTCATATGTCTTATGTGACAAATGTTTTGCACTACATTCAAAATTGTTTGTTTATATACAGACACTTAGGTCATTGCTTCAAGTGAGTTCTTTTCATATGTCTTATGTGACATGAAGGGTCTCCAAATGTTTTGCACTACATTCACAATTGTTTGATAATATACAGACACTTAGGTCATTGCTTCAAGTGAGTTCTTTTATATGTCTTATGTGACATGAAGGGTCTCCAAATGTTTTGCACTTCATTCACAATTGTTTGATAATATACAGACACTTAGGTCATTGCTTCAAGTTAGTTCTTTTATATGTCTTATGTGACATGAAGGGTCTCCAAATGTTTTGCACTTCATTCACAATTGTTTAATAATATACAGACACTTAGGTCATTGCTTCAAGTTAGTTCTTTTATATGTCTTATGTGACATGAAGGGTCTCCAAATGTTTTGCACTACATTCAATATTGTTTGTTTATATACAGGCACTTAGATCATTGCTTCAAATGAGATATTTCCATATGTCTGGTGTGACATGAAGTGTCTCCAAATGTTTTACAATTGTTTGTTTAAATAATTCATGTGTAATCTTATCATATGTTTGTTTTTAGATGAAAGCTCTTTGAATGACTTAAGGCAAATGTTACACTTGAATGGCTTCTCTCCAGTGTGGATCCTTTGATGTGTGACCAACTTAGAATTACTTATAAACTGTTTACTACAGACAGAACAGCTGTGCAGGTTTTCTCCAGTGTGTAGTTTTGTATGATTTAATAAGCTGCCCCTGTTTGTGAATGATCTGTGGCACACTTTGCATAAGAACCTTTGTGTGGCTTTGTCAAAGGTTATAAGTTGAAGTCGATTTTCCATCTTCGTGTGGATGCGTTTTTGTCTCAGTTCATCAATCTGAGAGGAACACACATCTGAAATAATACAAAGTATTCCATAAAAAAAACTGAAAATGTGTAATTCAGAAAACATCTCACACATGTCAAGTGTCTGGGGGATATTTTATTTTTTACTATATTAACCTGATAGTCAAACTGTTGAGACCAAAAGTGAAACAGAAAGTGAATGTAGTGTTCTGAGGAAATTGCTCCATTATGATTATGATAAATTAATCTTACAGTTTTAGGGCACAGATAGGATTAACTTATTGTTTCTTACAAATAATTTTCACAATTTTTTAATAAAGATTACTGCTTTTTGGTTGAATTTGTTAAATGTATAAATGTATTTTAGGAGTTTTTTCAATATGCTCATAAAGTAGCCAGGGTACATGTATGTGAGGCTTGATTGATAGTAACTATAGCAAGTTTATCATTGTCAAGAAAAAATTACAGCTAGAAATCTGTTCATGTGCAAACCTCACTCATTAAGATGTCTAAGTCTAAAACGAATGAGAATTTTGGTTTTTATATGCAAAATATTAAGTTATGGTGTTTATATGCAAAATATTAAGTTATGGTGTTTATATGCAAAATATTAAGTTATGGTGTTTATATGCAAAATATTAAGTTATGGTGTTTATATGCAAAATATTAAGTTATGGTGTTTATATGCAAAATATTAAGTTATGGATGGATGGAGACAGCTTCTCATATTCACAATTAAACCTCTTTCAGTGGGACACCAAATTACAAATACAGTTCAAACATGTAGATTATGCAATATATTCTATCTGTGTCATATTCAGCCCTGCATTGTACACGTTACCATTTATTCTCTGATTTAAAACTAACTTATTGTAAAGAGGATATACCAAAACTAAATCTTATTACACATACAAGTGTTCAAAATGACCTCAATTTTTTTTTTGGGGGGGGGCTGGTATAAGGTCTGCTATTTGACAGGGTGGTCCAAAAAATTGGAGCATTTCTTAATTGAATGCATATTATCTTCATTTAAGTCACTTATTTATCTGATGTAAAGTTTATAGGTTCAAACAACAAAGTTAAAGTAGGCAATGCTAAATAAGACCTCTCTTCTTAAATATTCACTTTTCAAAGCTTTAATGAACATGTTGATTGCTATACACATTTTAAAAAATCGAATTCAGTTGACAAGAGGTATTTATAACTTTTTAACTTGTTTACTGGAAAACTACTATGTTAATGCCAACTTGAAAGAAAACATATTGTTTGAATAAAAACCACTATATTTATGGCCAGAAAGTACTCCTAAAAACAAGGATCAGGAGGACATGAAGTTAATTTCAGAAAAATAATGACATTGACATAAAATCCCTTGCAATATGTCACATGGTCATTTTAGTGACCAAAATATGGCTTCTACTGCATGATTTTCCATAAGGGAAAATAACACGATATGAAATTTTCAATTTTAGTGTATTTTAATGGGCTCCTCATTTCAGAAGTTACTGACATATTGCAGAAGGAACTTTTCATATGGTTACTTGACTTGGGGTCGAGTTGACTAAGGGTTGAGTTGACTTAGGTTGAGTTGACTTGGGGTTGAGTTGACCAGTTCCCATGTTTTGCACTACATTCACAATTGTTTGTTTATTTACAGACACTTTTCTTTTATTTATTCCAAATAACATATATACATTTCAAAACTAATTTACAATATGAGAGCTTTTTCGAGCTCATATAAAAATAAATTTCCTTCACATCTCCTATATTTGAAATCATGAATAGTTTTTTAATTATAACGGATTCGTAAAAAATAAATCTGGCTTCATTTCAATCAGTCCTTACTTTTCATTATTGTTTGACTTGCTACGTTGCCATAGAATACTTATAGAGAAACGAGGAACAAAAATATTTGACAATATCATACATATTTATCCAATTGTAAAAAACCAAAGCGTGACCATTCCATATAATGTTACAATTATTCCACAAAATGATGCTATTTTTATGCTTATTGTGTTGCATCAATATTTCAAGCACAGATTTATAAATATTGTTGGAATGCTCACATCCTTTAAGTTTAACAGGCACTTAGTCTTAGATCATTGCTTCAAGTGACTTCTTTTCATATGTCTCATGTGAGATGAAGGGTCTCCAAATGATTTAAGGCACAAGTTACACTGAAATGGTTTCTCTCCTGTGTGAGTCCTTTGATGTGTCGCCAACTTAGAATTACTAATAAACTGTTTACTACAGAATGAACAGCTGTGCAGGTTTTCTCCAGTGTGTAGTCTTATATGATTCAATAAACTTCTTCTGTTAGTGAATGACTTCTGGCACACTTTGCAGAAGAATTTTTGTGTGTCTTTGTTGAAGGCTACAAGTTGAAGTCGATTTTCCAGTTTCGTTTGTTGGATGGCCCTTTGTCTCACTTCATCAATTGGAGTGGAGTACTTGTCTGGAGGCAAAACAAATCATTCCATTAAAACAGTGATGTATGTGCTTCAGAAAATGTCCAATACAGGTCAAGTTTCAGGTTTTATATCACTTCATACTTATGAACTTATGTATATCATTCAGCCATTCCATTGAATTTACAAGAAACTTGAATACATTGATCAGTGATCTCCCCAGCATTAAAGTAGGTGGGTACATCGCCCACCTGAGATTTTGAAAATAGGCTTCCACCCACCTGAAAATCCATTTGCACCCACTTGAAAATATTTTGGCATGATTTAACAAATTCTGGTCTGAAATGTACAAATTTTGCACCCACCTGAGAAAAATACTGGGGAGATAACTTTTGATAGTTTATTATTAGGAGGCCCCATCGGGGGGCCTCCTATCAATTTTGTAGATATTATTATTCTTTATTCTTTATTAGGAGGCCCCCCGGCAGGGGCCTCCTATTAATTTTGTAGATATTATTATTCTTTATTTATTCTTCCCGGGACCTTTTCTCCTACTTCCAACTAGCTTTCAACTAGCTCTTACATAGTCATACTAGGGACCTTGGCTGAACTTGGCGGGAAAGGAATTCTTATCTAGGTCAAGGTCAAAGGTCAAAATCTAGGTCAAATCTAAGTTTTTTTCAAGTTTCTCAAATCCTGACACTACACTTCAATATTTTTGGCTGAATTTTTGCATACAGATAGATATTAGTATTCTATTAGTCTTAGCCTTTTGCCGTCTAGAGAAATTTTGCCTAGATTTTGAGATATTGAAGGTCAAAAAAAGGTCAAAAAAGGTCTTTTTTCAACTTGCTTCAAATTGACCAAATTTTTTTTTAAAACTCATCTACAAGTTCTCAGGATTCCAAATCTGACCTTACTTTTGACATTTGACCTTTGGTTGACCTTCAGTGACCTCCGGAAGGTAAAAAAAGTTGATTTTTCGAATCGATTTTCTGGATTCAAATTTAGGTATATTTATTCACAAAAGACCTTCTGAGGTCTAAAAAAGTAAAATTTGCAAGGTCAAAGGTCAAGGTCATCAAACGAAATCACAAACTGTGTTTTCTAAGTTTCTCAAAATTGGATACTACAAATCAATTTTTTTTACTGAAAGTCAGAATATATATTCCTCTTAAGGTTCTTCACATATTAGCAATTGATTATTTATTAAAATTTTGCTCCAATTTTGAGATATTAGAACTCAAAAACTGAAAAAAGGTCAAATTTCGAAATTTTTCAAGGTCAAATTTCAACTTGCTCTAAATTGACCAATATTTTTTTTAAAAAGCATCTACAAGATCCCAGGAACTCAAATCTGACCTTAGTTTTGACCTATGACCTTTAGTTGACCTTCAGTGACCTTCGAAAGGTCAAAAAAGTTGATTTTTAAAATCGATTTTCTGGATTCAAATTTAGGTGCATTCAATCACGAAAGACCTTAAGAGGTCCAAAAAAGTAAAATTTTTAAGGTCAAAGGTCAAGGTCATTGAATTAAATCACAAAGTGTGTTTTCTAAGTTTCTCAAAGTTTGTGACTACAAATCAATATTTTTTAATGAAAGTCAGGATATATATTCCTCTAAAGGTTCTAAACATATTAGCAATTGATTATTTTCTAAGATCTTGCACCAGTTTTGAGATATTAGAGCTCAAAAACTGAAAAAGGTCAAATTTCGAAATTTTTCAAGGTCAAATTTCAACTTGATCTAAATTGACCAAACTTTTTTTTTAAAATCATCTACAAGTTATCAGGATTCCAAATCTGACCTTACTTTTGACCTTTGACCTTTGGTTGACCTTCAGTGACCTCCAAAGTGTAAAAAAAGTAGATTTTTTAAATCGATTTTCTGGGTTTAAATTTAGGTATATTTATTCAAAAAAGACCTACTGAGGCCTAAAAAAGTAAAATTTGCAAGGTCAAAGGTCAAGGTCATCAAGCTTAATCACAAACTGTGTTTTCTAAGTTTCTCATAATTGGTGACTACAAATCAATATTTTTTGATGAAAGTCAGAATATAGATTCCTCTCAAGGTTATACACATGTTAGTTATTGATTATCTATTCAAAATTTGCACCAGTTTTGAGATATTAGAGCTCAAAAACTTAAAAAAGTCAAATTTCGAAATTTCTAAGGTCAAATTTCAACTTGCTCTAAATTGACCAAACTTTTTTTAAAAAACCATCTACAAATTATCAGGAGTTCAAATCTGACTTTAGTTTTGACCTTTGGTTGACCTTGGAAGAAACCATGTAACCAACTTCATAACTGACTTAGTAATATACTTAAAGTTACTAACTTAGTAACTTACGTAGTCAATAATTACTTAGTAACTAGCTGACTTAGAAACTGACGTAATAACCATCTTTTGACCATTTGTTGACCATATAAGGCCAAAACACCTACGGGCCTCCGTAAGATTGCTTGCAATCTTGATCTCTAGTTATTCTTTATTAGGAGGCCCCCCGGCAGGGGCCTCCTATTAATTTTGTAGATATTATTATTCTTTATTTATTCTTCCCGGGACCTTTTCTCCTACTTCCAACTAGCTTTCAACTAGCTCT